CCTGCTGACCAGAGAAAGTGACTTTTTAAATAGGACCTCAGAAATCCCATTGTGCATGCAGAGCTGTCCATGGCTTGAGAGCAGTACATGTGAAAAGGATCTAGGAGTCTTGGTTGACCACAAACTTGACATGAGTCAACAGTGTGACGCGGCAGCTAAAAAAGCCAATGCAATTCTGGGCTGCATCAATAGGAGTATAGCATCTAGATCAAGGGAAGTAATAGTGCCACTGTATTCTGCTCTGGTCAGACCTCACCTGGAGTACTGTGTCCAGTTCTGGGCACCACAGTTCAAGAAGGACACTGACAAACTGGAACGTGTCCAGAGAGGGCAACAAATGGTCAAAGGCCTGGAAACGATGCCTTATGAGGAACGGCTAAGGAGCTGGGCATGTTTAGCCTGGAGAAGAGGAGGTTAAGGGGTGATATGATAGCCATGTTCAAATATATAAAAGGATGTCACATAGAGGAGGGAGAAAGGTTGTTTTCTGCTGCTCCAGAGAAGCGGACACGGAGCAATGGATCCAAACTACAAGAAAGAAGATTCCACCTAAACGTTAGGAAGAACTTCCTGACAGTAAGAGCTGTTCGACAGTGGAATTTGCTGCCAAGGAGTGTGGTGGAGTCTCCTTCTTTGGAGGTCTTTAAGCAGAGGCTTGACAACCATATGTCAGGAGTGCTCTGATGGTGTTTCCTGCTTGGCAGGGGGTTGGACTCGATGGCCCTTGTGGTCTCTTCCAACTCTATGATTCTATATAAACCTTTTGATCCCAGCTCCAAAAGTTTTAACAAAATTCCACTTTTAGGTTGCCTGATTAATCAAACATCAATGTTTTCTTCATCCAATGATACCCAAGAACAGACAGTTAAGGCTACAGTTCTGTACACAATGTAGCTGGAAGCGCATTCCATTGAACTCAATGGGGCCTATTTCTTAATAGCCATGTGCAATTGCTCTGCTAATTGCTAGAAGAAATCATACGCCAAAACAGTGACCAGAGAAGGAATGACTGCTGGGAGAAGTGCAGAAAAAAAGAAATGTGTGGAGCATCTGCAGTAGCACAAACAGACACCTTCATCTGCCCCAGCTGCCACAAAACATGTCTCTCCTGTATTGGTCTGTACAGCCACAACAGGCACTGTAACTCTCCAATGGTTTGATTTCACCCACAAAGGCACACTCTTCCATTGTGTCTTGAGACAGGTGGACGCCAACAACAAAGGCCCACACTAAAATCTACAAAGAGGCACTTTTATACTGTTACTGTTCAACTTGTAAGACCTTGTTAGCACTATCTCACTGCTCTTGGATTTTATTATATTATTTGTGGCACCAAATGGTGAACAATAAAACTTGTTATGTGTGTTCAGCACATTCCCCCAAAGACCACTTTCTCATCGCTTCACCAGGACAATAGCAAGTATGCGTTTCTTACATATTCCTTTCTAAATTGGCTTGACTCCTGTAAACAGGAATAAAAGTGGAACTTCATATCCAAATAAAACCCATTGATGCTGTACATATCTGTGCCTGAGGCATCATTTTTAAAAACAAAAATGATCAAACTTTTTTTTAAAAAAATGGTGATAAATTTCTCTTCACATTTCATGTGTAAATGAGAAAACATTGGTTCAAATCTCTGCTCACTTATGAAGGTCACAGGGTTGTCAGTCCACTATCAGTCTTGGTTTAACATCTCTCTCAAGCTGTTGTTAATGGAGCTAAAATGACACTCTCTGAACTGTGTATTTTCCTAGTGGTAAATCACACTCAGCGTGATCTGTAGATATGTCATGGTTGCTCTTATTTTACTAAACAGTGCCAAAAAGAAGGGAGGGGAAGAAAGAGAGGTAGTGATCCCAACTGCTAAAGACTGGTTTCTTTGAAGCACACCCCATTTGGTACATTTCAAGCAATTGCTCTTCATCAGAGGCAATGATCTTTTCTAAGTTTGATCTGAGCAATTCTTTTCATCCTCAAAGCAACTACAGTGCTCTAATATAATAATTTTTAAAAAGGTATCTTTGCATCTGATAGAGAGCAGTTACTCAAATCACACCAGGCACTGCAAACATTTACTGGAAAAGTCCCCCCAAATAAACCAATCTTCAGCACTTTGATATTTGCCACTATGGGGGACTTATTCATCTTGGTAAGGTTTCTTTCCCCCTCCCTATTTGCCACCCTTTCTCCTTTCATATGAGTATGTATCTGCTTTGACTTACCCCCTGGTTGCAGTAAATCAGCTAAGATCCCCAAGTGTCATGGCACATCAAACATCATACACAACCTAACTTTGCATGCCTTTCTTTCATCTGAGCATCAAAAAGTCCAAACCCTCAAATATAGTCTTCTCTTCTTCCAAGAGTGCGATCTAAATGTGGTCTGTGTGGTAGGGAATTACTGCTCGATATCTGTGGTCAACTCGTGACCAGGGGGGTCAAGTAAACTCTGCAAATGAAGGCCACAGAATGAGAGAAAAAGATTGGTAGAGGTAGCCCATAGAGAGGACAACAACCAACCTGTGCCCAGCATCCAGGCCTAGCTCTACCATTAGGCAAAGTGAGCTGTCTGCCTCTGATGACAACCACTGGTGGGGTGGAGAGCAGCAGCAAGATGCTAGGGGGATAGAGCTGTGTATATTCCACATGGCCTGCCCTAAGCCAGCCTGCTGACCTTAGGTGTAGTTGAAGTAAAAATCAGTTGCTGGGATGTCCAAACTATATAAGGCACAGCTGACTAAATTAACAAGTAAATAGGAAAACAATAACTGAAAGATTGAGGGATACATAAGAAGATGGTGGTAATGGTGCACATAATTCCTACCTCACCCACCAATATTGAAAAATAAATTATGGACCACTTTTTTAAATGTGGAGGAGACGTTCATGAAAAATATCTTTCGATCAAACTACATTAAAGAATTTTTCTTCTTGTGTGTTTATCACAAAGCATGTTCTTTTTTAACCCAGATCAACCATGCTGCAGGGAGGGGGATATTCAACCTTTTCCCAGAAGATGTTGTCTGCTGCAGGTAAAAAAAAAAAAAAAAAGCTATAGTTGGATAGATCTAGGAAAGACATTCATTATGGGCAAAGGTTAAACACCCTCTCAGACTTCCAACACTTCCTTACCAAGCCTGGTTTAACATTGTTTTAACTCTTGTGTCAAGAGATGAGTCTGAAGTAGGGATGAAGAAGAAAATTTATTCAATTCTCATTCAAAGCCGAAGCAATCAAATCCACATTTTTCAAAATATGAAAACCCAACCACAGACATCTTTCAAAATTCACACTTCTCTGAATTTTGTGATTCAGTTCTATAATCAAGCAGTGTTTACCATTATGCTGAAATAGGCATAAAAATGACCATACTGGTGAAAATATCATACAAAACTGCACATTATAAGAAAATCATTGCAAAAATGTGCTTTTTTAAAAAAATGATTTTTAAGGCAATTTGCAAACTGTTGCAGAAATGAGGAGAACTGAATTTAAGATTGGAAAAATGAAAAACAGACATTTACATATCCCTCCATTCCTGGTCTGAAGGTACGTATGCTACAGTTCTACTGCCAAAGCCAATTTGGCCCTGTTAGTTCTACTGCCAAAGCCAGTTTGGCCCTGTTAGATAAGAAACTCCTGGAAGTTGAACAGAGGCTCCTTGGGAACGGAGTGAGCTGTGAATGAAATAAATAAGAAGCTGAAAATAATGTTGCTATCAGAGGAGAAAGCTATCTTTGGAAGCTTTTTAACAGAAGCATGATTATTGAAGAGCTAAACAGAAATGAATTAAAATATTTGCTGGGTGAACAAAAACGTGGGAGGCTTTGTGCAAAAGCATTAGAGGCAAAGCACTTTAATCTGTAAGATGAAATCACTTTTCAAATGGAGAGATAACAACGGTGGGCCTTTTTAGCCCACCACCACCCAAATCCACTCCAGCAAGCTTCACAACAAGTATGTGAGCCTCCACATAAGGACTGGCTTAGTACATCACATGAACCAGCTAAAAGGATTTTTCTTTGTAGTTGGATTAAACTTTGAGTTGTTACCTTTTCCGCTTGCATGCCCAGGCCCAGGGAGCCTGCCGCCCATGAAGCTGGGGGTGTGGAAGCAAAATAGCTACTGTACAATGTTCTTGGAACCTAACAGGCCACAATTTTTATTGATTACAGATATAAGTGGGCTTAGGCATTGAGTTTATCCTGGAATGACCAGCTCATCTGCTGGCTGATTAGGATTGGGGTCGATCTTCAGTTAGGATTGCCCTATGACATACATCAAATGGGAACAACCATCAGGATTGCCAGCTTGGGGAGTGCTGTGGCCACCATCGGCCCCTCTCTGTGTATCTGGGACTCAGCTACATTCATCACAATAATACATTTTGAATGTGTTATAAACATCCAACACCAGATCGTGCCAGAGAGCAAAAAGGAGTTTACGGTATATGGATTTTTACATAGGGGTTTTTTTTCCCTTTTGTTGTAATGATTTAATTTCTGATTTATAGTGTTTTTAACCTGTGTCTAGATCCACTCTCAGACAGAAGCACCTCCCCTAAGACCCCTTAAATGGGATATCCCATTTCCTTGGAGGTGGAAAAGCAGTGGCTTACAAACCCACCCATGACTAAGTCTCATACCCAATTCCTTGTCCGCCAAAAGTTGTGACAATTGCTATGAAGTAGCAAACAAAAAAACAACCCCCCCCCAAAAAAAACCAGACAGGCTCAATTTGTGTGGAGGAAAAATTCCTCCCTGGCCCTGAATACAGCAACTGATACTTCCACACCGCAGACCCACACAATTTCCTCTGGGTGGGTCTAAACATGCAAACGAGGGAGGCTGGGTGATCCGAAACCAACTGTACTGCCAGTTGAGGGGGCAACAGGGGTCTCTAGTCAGCTCCACCCCCAGGGGCCCCCACAATTGGTCAAATTTGCAGGTGGGCCTGATTCAAATCCCATGGCTGGTGGGAGAGAACATGATGTCTCCCACTGGCCATTGGGATACTGGACAAGAAGAGCCCCAGCAATGGCAGCGAGCCGTGTGGAGCCGCAGCTGCTGTGTCACACTGAAAGGCGCCTGGGACTTGTCTTCCTCATGGGCTTTTAACAACAGGCATACACACTGACACAAAGCAAGTGAAACTTTGCCCCTTCTTTATCTCCATGCCAGGCTGGTCTTAATCAGATTTCTATTTTCTTTGACTCCATAGAGTTGTTTGGCACAAAGCAGATGAATTATTTTTAAATGACGTTTCTTCAAGGCTGCAATAACACAACCATTGCCTTTCTCTCTGATTTAGATGTTCTCATCTATTTCTTACGCAAGGGAACTGTTCACTTTTTACAAACAATTTCCCTCCTAGCAGTTGCCATCATGCTGACCTATGTGTTGCTTCTTTTGCTTGGGAGAAAAAGTACTGAATTGTAGAAGAAGAGTTTGAGAAAAGAACTCTTCACCTCTGTGAACGTTTCACAAATTCCTTTTTCCAGCAAGACTTGTTACAGACATTTCCCGTCCTTTGTGAAATCTGTGCTGCGATCACTGGAAGGTATGTATAAATCTCAATTGAAATATTTATTGCGTTTCTCCCCACGCTTCTCTTTGAAATGATTGTTTCATCTCTCCATTTACTTTCTTGGCCTTTCTGCAATTGGGTCCACATGGAGTGGGCATCTGAATCTTTTTGCAGACCTTCTGGCTAGCCAGCTCACTTCCTCTATGTGAAACTGGTATCACATGAAGTGTACAATTGGCATTGCTCTACATGTAGGAGCTAAGCCTGCCTTCGTTTACAAAATGATTCCTAAGATTTCTGGAGAATTATACTACGTAATTATTTCTGCAGTGCAACAGAGACAGTACTGAACCATCGACCCAACTCTACTGAGTTGCTTCCAGATAACCTGTTTACAGAGCATTCATTCTAATCTCCCTGCACGGAGATTAGACAACAGCTTTAACAGCTATTTGTGGAGTATTCATTCTGTTTGCGATGAGGTTAGCTGATGCTGCATCAAACAACATTATCGCACATTTTCCCCATCATTTTCCTTATCACAGAAAGTCTAATTTGGGGAGGACAGGGTAGTGGGATTACGGCACAAGAACTGCAAACCAATTTTCATTGCACAACCTTAACTGTACAGTACGTGATTGAACTCCACCAGAAAATGGCAACATTATTGAAACTCTTTTACATTTATTTCCTTGAGCTGCTCATTGCTGCAACCAATCTCCCTACTCCCTAACCCCACAACTCTGCTCCCCTTGTTCCTTGTGGATCTCCTAAATGCCAATGATTTATGTGCGGGCAGAAGGCAGGCTGGAAACGAGGTGGCATAATACCTTGGAGCTACAATCCCCTTGGGAATGTGCAGAGAGTTCTTCACATCACCTTCAAGTACTTAAAAGTTGCAGATCAAACAATTTTGAAAGAGAGGGGAGGCAGACTGGAATGTGTGGCCACTATTCTATGAAGTTATATGATTCCCTCATGATCTGAAGTCAGAAACTTTGTTCTCTGGTGAGCAGAGATACTCACTGCTTTGACTTCTTGTTCAGTAGTAGGTTTTGAGGAGAGAGAAAAAAATCTGTATCATAACGGTGAAATCCTCTTTTAGATGAAAATGAGAATGACTTGTACCAGCTTTCTAATAAGGCACCTGATATTACACGGTGAGGCAGAAAACCAACTCCAGTAACCTCACAACTGAGTATTTTATTTTTCTCTTTTATACTACTTTGTGACTGTGAACTTAGAGGCAGTTAGTTAATGCATTCAATAAATCAAAAGATATAATTTACCCCCTGGATTCTACCATTTAAGGCTGTGGTTTCAGGGTTGAATATTTGATTGCTTCCTCATAAATAGCCTCCACAGAGGTAGCTCAGTTAGCCTGTTGAGTCCAAATGATAAATAGCCTTGTGGCAACTTAACATCTAATAGATTTATTATACCATACATAAGCTTTTGTGAACCAGAGTCCACTTGGTTTCACAAGATATAAGAAAATTACACATATAAAAATAACACCTCCCGTAGACTATAGGTTCAGCTTGTAAACATGTGTGACATGGTGCACATTGGAACACAAAAAAAAATTAATTTCACTGAAATTAAATGACTAACAAGACCTTGGGGTCACAACAGATAACTTGAAGAAGATTTTGACCCATTGTGTGACAGCTACCCAAAAAAAAGGCAAATTCCATGTGAGGAATCATTAGGAAAGGAATGGAAAATAAAACTGCTGATATCACAGCAGCATTATACAAATCTATATTGCAACCACATTTGGAATACTGTATGCAGTTCTGGTTGGCTCACCTCAGAAAGAATATTGTAGAGTTGGAAAAGATTTGGGAAAGGCAGCCAAAATGATCAAGGGGATGGAATGACTTCCCTTTGAGGAAAAGTTGCAACAATTAGGACCTTTTAATTTAAAGTCAAGTAAAAGATGACATGATAGAAGTTTATAAAATTATGCACAGCATGGAGAAACAGAGAATAATAGAACATGTGGACATCCAACAAAGCTGAATGTTGGAAGACTTGAGACAGATAAAAGAAAGCACTTATTCATACAGTGCATAGTGAAACTATAGAAGTCATTCTCACAGGAGACAAGGATGGCCATCAATCTGGATGGCTTTAAAAGAGGATTAGACAAATTCATGGAAGATAAAGCTTTTAGTGGCTGCTAGCTATGCTCTGCTCTGCTTCCCAAGTCAGAGGATGCAAAATGCTTCTGAATACCAACTGCTGGAAACCACAGGAAAGGAGAATGCCCTTCTACTCATGTCCTGCTTGCAGGTTTCTCGCTGGCATCTGGTTGACCACTGTGAGAACAGGATACTGGACCAGACGGGCCATTAGTCTCAACCAGCTGTCTCATCTTAGGTTCTTATGTAACTTTCTTCTCCTCTTTCTTTGGACTAGGAGACATTGCTAAAGGCCTGCATTAACAGGCCTTTATCAAGGAGTTGGTCATAACCTAGTTGCAGTTCAGCAATGTACAGAGAGCCAAAGGTCCTCACATCATCTGCTGTAGCCCTATTTAGTCATTCATTCTCCCTCTCCCTCTCTCTATCACACACATACACAATTGCCATCATGCAAAGCAGAATGTAGAGATGAATTTGTTGGTTGGCCCAATCCCTATTGCTCGTTCCTGCCCCCATTCCTGCAGCCCCTCAAGTGTTGGGGGTTGAATGTCTGCAGGGAGGAGTCCGTTTTGCTCAAGCAGGCTCCCCATGTGGCATAAAACCCCTTAGTGGAGACAGCAACTAAACAGGATGTGTGTTTCCTGGTGCAGAGCTCTGACAGCTGCTCCTCACAATGTCCTCTCCGCTTTCCAGATTTAAGAGATAGCTGCTGTGGGAATTCTAGCGTTGCCAGTTGCCAATGTCCTGGTGAACTTTGGGGAGGTGGGAAGAAGGCTGCAGAGGACCAAGATAGTGAAGCAAGACATGTTACTACCCTCCCACATACACTAATGATTTACATGGTTGTTGTATGCATATTATTACCCGGTTAACTATTTCCAGAAATATTAGATGTCCCCACTTCATGCTCATTCCTCTTCTGTGCTACTTATATTACAAACTATTAACAAGTCCTGCTTCTTAAGCTATTTACTGTCAGATTCAGATAAGTGGCAATCATGCTAACTATGAATGCAGGAAAGTAGTATACAGTTGTTGTGCTTGCATAATTTATTCTTTACTAAGAATTTGGGTTTCCTCAGCTCTGGAACTGCAATTTTTGATGTTACATTTATATTCTATTTTCACCAGTAAACATCTCTCTCATATATATATATATATATATATATATATATATATATAGATATATATATAGATATAGATATATATCTCACAGCTTGGCATTTTAAAATACTCAACTCTAAGCATTCTTATTGCTCTCTGTAGGAAAAGGTTAAAGATGTGATTCCAGTAATTCCACTTGGGCCGGCTATGCTCACACAGACAACATTAAGTGACATTTAAAAAGCCAAAATTCAGTCTTCTTGCAACTTCCAAGCCGGAAATGCTTTCTCACTGATGATATATTTGTGATAGGAAGATTTTGTTAAACACTGCAAAGATGTCTGTGGTTTTTCATGGAGACTTAATAGCTACCGTGGCTGCATAACACACTATTTGAAGGCATATTACTTCCCTCAAAAAAAATCCTGGGAACTGTAGCTTGTTAGGGTGCTAAGAATTGTAGCTGTGTGTGAATAGCAATGAAAGTTCTAAACTTCCAATTTGCCTTTTTGAAATGCTTAGCAGTCTGGTTTTTAAAAAAGAAAAGATTTGATTACATATTTTAAGGGGAATGGTTGTATGAATGGCTGACTAGCATGTGGCATTTTAGGAAGGCATTCCACGTTATTTTAACAGAGGGTGGCAAGCAGAGTACATTCAAAGCAGCCTTAAGACTAGATAACTTGATTTTTAAAAAAATGATTAAGAATATATTTTCAGCATATTCTTTCCTTGAAAGAACAGCAAGCTAACTAAACAAAGCATTTGTGATAGCTGTCGAACCACAGCATGAAACTAATCAGCAATAAGAACCCTTCAAATACCTCCCAGCAACTTAGATTCACTGAATGAATGCTCTCTCAAACAGCAAATCTGTGTGGTGTTCAAACAATGAGCTAATTTACTATACTGATTTCCCTGTGATTATTATTTATGTACAGCAGAGAATGTTCCACATGAGCTCATGGCTCAACATCAAGGACACACTGTTCTAATTTATTACAACCAGTGGGTTGAAGGATATTCCTAAAATGAAATGATGAAAGTTTAGCAGGCATGTGGATCCTGCTGCCTCCAGTTTCTAGGCACTGTGCTGATCTGAGATAAAGCTCAATGCAGTGAGGGGACATGACAGACACAGATGTTTCTGGAAGTCCTGGCTAAGATGGGAAGTAGTTAACTCCTCCCTTTCCTGAAACACTATTTGCATTCCTTTCAGGGCTGGCTCCAAAGAGTAGTGATGTTGAGTAGTTGCTGACTTGAGCTTTACAAAGGCCCCACTATCCATACAGCAGCATCATTTCTCACTTCATATGAATCACCCATATAGATCAAATGCACTTCAGAGTACTTTCAGTTTGCACAACCCACCATTTTGTTGCTAATGGTCTGTGCCCCAGGGCCCCCAAAATCCTTTGCTGGCAAATATATGTCCTTGGAATAAACATTGTCAGGTAGTATATCACCATCAAAAATGAGCCTCCCTCCCTTTCATGCAAGGTTAGTGTCCCATACTGTTCACAAACTGTTCTTCATGAGAATCTGTGTGAAACCCACTTGATATTTCCACACATAAGTAACAGGCTTGCCAGCTATTCCTTTTTTCCCCAGCAATCCCTCTTGTTTTCACATCATACCCCTTATTCATGAATACAGCTGTTTGTGGAACATAATGGATGGCTCTGAAGTGTTTCAATATGCTACTGCTCCAACTTCCATAGCACAATGTAATGCATATACCAGGGGTTCATCTTGACTCCATTTGAAATGATAGTAGCATTGAATTCAATTCATTATTTTGACCAAAGGATCTTTCTTGATTACCTGGGGCAAATTACTGCCGCTTTGTCACAGTTCCCAGACTTTTTCTGGCTCCTATTAGAATAACTGGGTCCTACCAGGATAATGTCTCTGCCATTCGAACAATGTGATGCTAGCAAGTTCAGATATGCCAGATACTAGGTCCAAGGCTGAAATGGTAATTAGTGACTCAGATTTGCTTTCTATTATATGTTTCTGAATCAGCTACTAATCTATGGGTAGTGGGATGGACTCATGAGATTAAGTATGCATTAAAGTATAACTCATTTGGGCTAGGGAATGAGATTTTTGAGGAGCGTTGTGTCATCAATGAGCACATCAGTACAAAAGCTACTTTATTATGAACACTGGAAAATTGGTGTGGGGTGTTCAAATAAGGCTTTTAAGATGCATGTCTCAAATTCTACATGGGAAATATTGGGAAAATTAAATTAAAGCAATGCAGGTATCTATTGCTGCTATTAACTCTGCAATCTAGGACAAAGGAAGTTCAGCTGCCATTTTCAAAAGTCTGACTTGTGCTTTAAGCAGCACTGCATGGGAGCAATCAGAAGCAACTTCTGCAAGTCACCTCCAAGCTGAGTTATTATTCCAGCCCTGTTATATTCATAACAGAATAGGAAGTGATCAAAATTCCACTGAAATCTAATGACAAAAGTCCTGAACCTTCTCAGATGCAGGCATCCAGCTGTTTTGGTGATGATTCAAGTGTGAGAAGAAGGTTCATGTCTGAAATTTTCAAGCTGAGCAATTTACTCCAGTGTCAATGGGGACAAGTGTTTCTGGTGATGTTCTGAATGATACAGTACTAATGGAGGAAGAAGCAATTCTTAAATGCAGCATAATTATAACTATATTACTAGATTAAGATAGAATATGATCTTTGTGAAATGTTTCACAATGTAAATCTATCCCCTTGGCATTGTAGAGTACTTTACTGTAGTTATTTTGCAATACCTAGAAAAGGCAGAGAAAGTAATCAATAGGTAGTCATTTTGCAATATATCATTCACACCTAACTGTGCAGATCATAATTATAGCCGTACATTATCTAGCCTGTGCCTAGAGGTCTAAAGAACAAAAACTGACAACAGGCACAACCAACCATGAGAAGAGACTAAAAGATCAATGAAATGACACATTATCTAGAAGTAAATTGCAAGGACTTAGGAAAATTAAAACATGAAGCTGGTGGGGGGAATAAACTGTTTAAAATGTTCTCAGAGTTTTCCGTAAGTTCTACTTTCTGAATACATTTTTGGGATAGAACTATATGAGCGAAGCATGGCATTAATTATGTGAAAGCAATTAATGTGCTCATTTAAAAAATGTAAATAGGGAGTGAACCAAGCCAGATCAAGGCCATAAGAGTGACTCCTACCACAGTCCCAGAATCCTACCCCAGTTCTGATGTTTGTGGTGGGTAATGTATCAGTAGTAAGGTGTTATTCACTCAAGTATGTAGATCAGGGATGGGGAAATATCTGGTCCTCCAGGTGTTGTTGGACTATATATCTCCCCCGACATCTCTGACCATTGGCTATGCTGATTCTGACTGACAGAGCCCCGGTAGTGTTGGAGGGGAAGAGAGCAATGCTTTATTAATTTGTTTGCCTGTGGGTATGCTTTTTAACCTTGTTGAACAGCAGCTTTAGCTGGTTTCATTCAAATAAACAGCTTTCAGAGTAATGTGATTTAAAGTACATTGCTGCCTTTATAGTCCTAAACCTTTTGTGAGTCACTTGAACTGACATGGCCTCAGGGGACAAGTGCCTTTCCATTTTCACACATAGCCCAGTGTCTTATTTTCAGGATTTATTGACCTCTTAACTTATTGAACCTCATTTCTAGTCTGTATTAAAACCGAGCGATAGATAGGAAATCTCATGGGATACTTTTATTAAGTGTCTCAAAAGTGGCAGCTCTGCCTCTTGTATTTCTTTGCCTGTTAGCTTTTTAAATTCATGAGATCATGGAGCCCAATAAACTAGTACATGAGCAGTAAATGTCTCCATGTGCCCTAAGGCAAAATAGCCTATTATGAGGCATCTGATCAAAATCTGCTTTGAGCTTAAAAAATTATATTTGTAAATATATTTTTTCTCTGCCAGGGAGAAGACCAGCTTGAATACTCTGACAGCTGTTCAAGGGGCCCCACTGCTATAAATAGCAGTATTTCAGGGTTGTAAAAAGTATTTCAAGGTTGTAAAAGGAAATTAGAGCCAGAGAGCAAAAGGTCACACTGACCAGAATACAATCAAGCTGTAAAAACACAATTAAGAACTGGTAAATAGTGAAATTTATTGTTTAACAGAAGACTCGAGCCATAAGGTTAAAGGTTAAATTGCAAGAGGAACAGCAGCTGGTTAGGGAAAAAGGTTTCTTTATAGAACTTAGGAACTTAGCTTTTACTAAATTCCTTTAATTTGAAAAGGCCTTTCCTTCTAAAAATCTATCTATGTTATGTATGAAATATATTGGCTTAAATGTGATTATGCAAAGGATTTAGAAAGTAAGAAATGTTAGATTCTTATGTTAGATTCCTATTATGGTGGGTGAGAAGGTGAACTCAAGATCTCTTTAAGATAAAAAAAATTAGAAACCATGCACCATCTGCTTTAGCCATCTGGTTTGCGGTGAATAGGGCAACAGGGGCCAAAGGTTATCTGGTAATTGAGGTGCCTGGTCGAGGTAAATGTAAGATATATGGCTACTTGTCTGCCATTTATGGATACAAGGAAATATAGCTTTTTGTCTCCCATAAAAGGGAATAGGAAATGGGTGTATCTTTTATGATTGGTTCTAGCAAACAACCAATAGGAATTTCAACCAGGCTGATTGGACAGAGGCAGCCAAAGGAGGAGCAAGGGGGCTGGGCTGAGGAAATATAAGTGCTGGCCATCAGGGCTGGAGTAGGCAGAGCTTTGGTATCCATATACCACTGTGTCTCTCATTTATTTGTCTGACAAATAAATTATTATTTTAATTTCTCTATTGCTGCGTTGAATATTTCATTCCAGCTAAGCGTTAACCACAAGCAGGGTGCTACATTTTATGGTGCCTCTGTGACTCGGATAAGTGGTCTGCTGGAACGCAGCCCCTTCGCCCTAGCGGGCAGGGTACAAGAGGGAGGACCACTGACCGCTTACCCAGCGCGCACTGGAACATTTTTCCAGGGGAACGCAGAAGTCTCGTCTGTCTGATACCCTGCTCACTGGCGGCGACGGACCGGGGGTAACCAGAGAAATAAACAGGGAACCAGCTAAGGGTAAGTGCACAAAGGGGTTGTGGCCCTCCAATTAATTGGGAGGAAGAGAAGTCTTGATCAAACTTCTGCGTCTCAGTAAGGGGGAACTGAGTACGCTAGGTGGTTGGGTACATCAGATGGTGGTCTGGTGGAGGGAAAAGGGAAAGATTGGGAGGTAGAGTGTGGTGAAGTATCCAGCGCATTGTATGTGTGAGAAAGTACAATTTGTAGCTGACCTGAGTGTGGAGTGGGTAGTACTTCGGTTCCTAGTAAGGCGACTTCACTAGGCAAGGATCCCCACGAAGCGTGTGTGTGAGTGACTGAGTGGATACTTCACAGGGCCATACAATGGGAGTTGGAGGTTCAAAGGGGGAAAATACACCTCTTGAATGTATGTTAAATAATTTTAAGAAAGCCTTCTCAGGAGCATATGGAGTCAAAATGACGCCAGAGCGCTTGAGAACGTTATGTGAATTAGACTGGCCAAAACAAAATACTGGATGGCCACCTCAGGGAAGTTTTGATATAAATTTAGCAAGCAAACTTTGGTCTAACATCACCAAAGAAACTGGAGGGTGCCCAGAACAATTTTCATATATAGATTCTTGGCTGAGCACATTAAATAATAATCCTCCATGGATAAGGGAATGCAAAGTCCAACAATGCAAATTATTGGCTGTAAAAGCCGAAGCTAGGAAAGGAATCTTGCCAAATAAACTCAAACCCATTTTTGAGGGACCAGAGGAAGAGGTGCTTCCACCTCCACCCTATGCTCCACATCGAGGGGAGCCTAATCCAAACACTCCACCAGTTGTAACCCCAAGGCAAGAAAGTGGAAGGAATAATGGGGCTGGAGTCACAGAGCTTGATTCCTTGATAGATTATGATAAATATCTTCAGGAGGCATTGGAGTCCTATAATAAAGCCCAAGCAGAAGTGGTTATTCCACCTGTGAGTCCCAGTAGAACTCCATCTACAGTCTCCTTTAGTGGAACAACTGATTGCCCACCCCAAACCCCTGTACATCCAAGTCCTAGAGAACTATTACAGGAGTTACAGGGAGACTTTGATCGGTCAGTAAGCAATACAGCCAGGCGTATAAAGCTGTTAAAAGAACGCCTTGGGACAAATACTATCCCCTATGATTTGAGGCCCCTAAAGCAAAGCGAAGAGAAAGGTCACGTAGTAGCCCCTCTCAGAAGAGTATTTGATGCACTTGAGGAGCCTGTGCTGGTTAACGGGCAACTCGGACCACGGCCACCTCGAACTTCGACCCTCCAGTACATTCCATTCACAACTACGGATCTGATGAATTGGAAAACACACACCCCGTCTTTCGCAGAAAAACCTCAGGCTATGATGGACTTGGTGACTTCAATAGTAAATACTCATAGTCCTACTTGGACAGATTGCCGCCAGCTCCTGAATACTCTGTTCACCACTGAGGAAAGAAGAGACATAATTGAAAAGGCACAGATATATTTGCGTGAGCAGGCCAGAGTGGGAAATATTCTTAATGTTGACCGTCATCTCCAGGACAATTTTCCCTTGGAGGATCCTAATTGGGATCCAAACAATGCAATTCACCTGGCCAGGCTTACCACCTACCGCCAGACGCTTGTGCAAGGTATCCGCAGGGCATGCCAGAAGCCCACTAATATGACTAAAGTCTCAGAAGTAGAACAGAAACCGAATGAGAGTCCGGGAGACTTTTTAGAGAGGCTGCAGGAAGCCTATCGTATATGGACTCCTTTTGACCCTGAAGCCCCTGCAAACAGCAGAATGATTACTGCTACTTTTGTGGCTCAGTGCGCTTCTGACATTCGTAAGAAAATTCAGAAGTCAGAAGGCTGGGAAGGGATGCTGATGAGCCAAATTATGGCCATTGCACGCCGAGTTTATCGGAATAGGGATGAGGCTGAGAAACAAGAGAAGAAGAAGTGGCAGAAGGAAAAGATGGTGATGCTAGCCACAGCAGTGAAGCAAGACTACCGCCCTTTAAATGGAGGGAGAGGGCGGGGAAGGAATCCACCACTGGGAAGGAATCAATGTGCGAATTGCAAGAAGGAGGGTCATTGGAAGCGGGAGTGTCCTGAACCCCTGAGGTTGGAAGAAGTACGCCCAGGCCCAGGCCCAGGCTCCGGCCCAAGAAACCAGGGACGGGGACGGGGAATGATCCGAGATGGAAGATATCAGAGACCTGGACAAGGACGGAGTAGAGACAATTTCATTGGACTGGCAGAGGAGGATTTTACCCAAGACTAGGAACGACCGGACTCCATAAAGTTAGGCTTCCAGGAGCCCACGGTCAAAATTCAATTAGGGAGCCATTTAATAGACTTTATGATAGATACTGGCGCTGAATACTCAGTACTCCCAGAACTATTGCAGAAAAAGGCATCCAAAAGTGTAGTCATTAAAAGTGCCACTGGTCAGTCAGCTAAGAGGTCTTTCCTCCAACCTTTAGAATGCCAGATTGGGGGACATCATTTAACCCATCAGTTTTTGTATATACCTGAGTGTCCAATGCCTCTCTTAGGTAGAGATATGCTGTCCAAATTGCAGGCCCAAATCACCTTCACTCCTCGAGGTCCAGAAATGAAACTGCCATCAAAGGCAGCAGGAATAATTTCCCTCTCAGTACCTAAGGAACAATCATGGCGCCTAATGTCAGCCCTGCAAGTCCAACCCACATTGGATACAGAATTAAACAAGCTCCTCCGAACCCTACAAGTGCCACCAGGAGTATGGGCCGAAAATAGCCCACCAGGAATGGCTAAGAATATAGCTCCAATTGTAGTAACCCTAAAACCTATGGCTACCCCTGTATCTGTAAAGCAATATCCTTTACCCCGGCGAGCAGCAGAGGGCATCCAGAAACATTTGGACCGCCTATTAAAATATGGTCTGCTTAAGCCCTGCCAATCAGAATGGAACACACCCCTTTGCCTGTTCGGAAGCCTGGGACAGATGAATACAGGCCAGTACAGGACTTGAGGCTCGTAAACCAGGCTATCGAGACCTTGCACCCAAATGTACCAAACCCATATACCTTGCTGAGTTTGATCCCACCAGAAGCAACATTTTTACTGTATTGGACTTGAAAGATGCATTCTTCTGTTGCCGGCTGGCACCACAGAGCCAACCTATATTTGCCTTCCAGTGGGAAGACCCTTTGACAGGAACAAAAGGCCAGCTAACCTGGACAAGATTGCCCCAGGGATTCAAAAATTCCCCAACTTTATTTGGCACTGCCTTGGCGAAGGATCTAACAAGTTACCCTCGATACCTGGAAAAAGGTGGTTCTGCAATATGTAGATGACCTTATACTAGCGGCAAAGGATTTTGATACCTGTAAAGAAGGGACAGAGGAACTGCTCCACTTGCTCTGGGAAGCTGGCTACCGAGTTTCCCAGAAAAAGGCACAGTTATGTTTAGAAAAGGTCAAATATTTGGGCTTTGACATCTCACACCAACAACGAGCATTGAGACCAGAGAGGAAAGAAGCTATTTGCCTTATCAAGGAACCTACCACAAGGAAACAACTCAGAGGATTCCTGGGAACAGCAGGGTTTTGTAGACTATGGATACCTGATTTCAGCAGTCTGGCCAAGCCCTTACATGAAAGCACTCGAGGTGCAGAAAAGGACCCATTCGTATGGGGACCTGAGCAGCAACAAGCCTTTTTAGTTATCAAACAACGACTTATGGAGGCCCCAGCCCTTGGACTGCCTAATTCGGAAAAACCCTTTCAGCTGTATGTACATGAACAGAATGGGATTGCAGCAGCAGTCCTGACCCAGAGATTAGGAAGTTGGAACCGTCCAGTAGCTTATTTGTCAAAACAATTGGACTCAGTAGCAAAAGGATGGCCTCCATGCCTAAGGGCAGTAGCGGCCACTGCAAGCCTTGTCAAAGAAGCTGATAAATTTACCTTTGGCCAGACGATGTATGTGAATGTACCTCATGCTGTTCTGACACTCATGGAATATAAGGGTAGTTATTGGCTAACGAATCCAAGGATGGCTAGATACCAAGGCCTATTGTGTGAAAATCCCAGGATTCATCTACGAGTAGTGAATATGCTCAATCCAGCAACTTTGCTGCCCCTACCAGAGGTAGATGATGAAGAATCACATGATTGTCTCCAAATAATGGATGAAGTGTATTCCAGTAGACCCGATCTGAAAGATGAACCATTGAAAAATCCAGATGTTGTATATTATACTGATGGTAGCAGTTACCTGCATGAAGGTGCCAGACGAGCAGGATATGCTGTGGTCACCAATGAGGAAGTTGTGGAAGCTGAAGCTTTGCCTGCTGGCACCTCAGCACAAAAGGCTGAACTTATAGGTTTAACTAGAGCTCTGCAATTGGCAGCCGGATGTAAGGCAAACATCTATACTGATTCTAAATATGCCTTCTTAACCCTGCATGCACATGGAGCTCTATGGAAAGAAAGAGGTCTAATCGGAGCCCATGGGAAGGCCTTGAAATATGGACCTGAAGTAGAAATCCTGTTGGAAGCAGTATGGGCTCCAGAACAGATTGCTGTAATGCACTGCAAAGGTCATGGACGTGGAAGGGATCCAATAACCAGAGGAAATCATGCTGCTGACAAAGCAGCCCGAGAGGCAGCCCAGAAGCCTGTGGGAGGATTTATAGCAGCCCTCATACCAGAGGTAGTTCCAGAAGAAATTAAACCTCACTATACCCCAGAAGAGAGGAAGTGGGCTGAACAGGAAGGAGCGGTTGTGAAGGACGGTTGGATGATCCTGCCGGACAATAGGATTTATGTACCTCATCACCTAGCAGGCACAATTGTAAGAAATTATCATGAATCTACTCACCTTGGCGGTACTGCAACCAGAGAGAGTCTCAGTCGGAAGTTGTATATTATTAACCTATCACAATTAGCAACTTGCATTTCACAGAAATGTGTTCTTTGTGCTAAAAACAATCCCAGGCAGGGACCGGTACAACCTCCTGGAATCCAACATGTGGGATACGTCCCCATGGAAAGCCTAATTGTGGACTTCACAGAGCTGGTCCCTTCTAAGGGATTCAAGTACCTCCTTGTGTTTGTAGATACCCTTACCGGATGGGTTGAAGCTTTTCCCACCAGGACTGAAAAGGCACGAGAGGTAACTAAGAGACTCCTCACTGAATTGATCCCGAGGTTTGGATTACCTAGATGCATTGGAAGTGATAATGGGCCAGCGTTCATTGATCAAGTAGTACAAGAAGTATGTCGAGTCCTACAAGTGAAATGGAGACTGCATGCAGCATATAGGCCTCAAAGTTCGGGGAAAACTGAAAGAATGAATCGGACTCTGAAAACCCAATTGGCAAAATTAACCCAGGAAACAGGATTGGGATGGGTAGATGTGTTACCCATAACACTGTTTCGTGTTCGGTGTGCACCCACAAAAAGACTTAAGTTGTCACCTTTGAGCTCCTGTATGGGAGGCCACCCTCCTTTGTTCAGGATATTCCAGCTGACCTCAAACAAATAGGAGACCATGTGACACAGGGACAAGTGCAATCTCTCTCCCGTGTTTTTGTTTCTCTTAACAGGTGGGCCCTCGAGCGCACGCCGTGCAGCATTGCCGAGCCGATTCATCAGTTCCAGGCTGGCGATAGCGTATGGGTGAAAGAGTGGAAACGTGATCCACTTGCACCTAAGTGGCGTGGGCCTTACACCGTCTTGCTCTCTACTCCAACAGCGGTGAAGGTAGCTGAGGTGACCCCTGGATTCATCACTCCCGCTTGAAGAAGTCCGAAGGCAGTTGGACGTGCAAAGGTGACCCCTCTAATCCTTTTAAACTGACTCTCTCCAAAAACCCCTGTATCTAGCCCTACGGGGAACGGGCTAGGTCACGGGCAACATTAGACGACCGGCCTGCTGCAGCCACAACCTGGAAGCTGGCTGACCTGCGCACGCCTGAAGCTTGAGGAGCGTCTGAACCAGCGATTGTGAACAGGAAGATTCTCTTATACAATTGATTGACTGCCCCCCCCTGTGGAACAATTATCAGGGATATTACTCATTGGGGATCCTCGGGATATATGTTTTGGTCTTGGTGGTTCCCCATTTCTGTCATTGGGGGAATTATATTGGGCCTAATATTTTTTTGTTATCACAATAAGGTAATCTTTTGTGGAAGAAATGCATATACTAGACATCAACATGATTTTATTATTAATCCTGATCCCTTGGGAAGGGGAAGGGTCCTTGAATCTGACCAAATTTGCTAAATATGGATTCCGCCATGACCACAATATGTGGGTAGGCTTAGCTGAGATGGTAGCCAATGTTACAAATAGGACCAATTGCCTTGTTTGCTCTCTTGGACCAGATGATTCAGAGGGAGGTATGCCCTTATTACCGATACCATTAAATGCCATTGGTATGGTAAGCGAAATGCCACACCAAACAGAAGTACAGAATTTCCCCGGATGGAACTCAACTAAACCAATACGAGTTATACCTGTGCAAGGGGAATTCTGTGTACATAAATTATCAGCTGCAGCTGATTCTATCATGATAGGCTCTTCTCATTGCCACTATACTTGGGATTATATTAAGAATAGTCAAACCTGGGCAAACGGTACTACCTATCGAACTCGGAATACCTTGCCCTGTGCACCTCCTTTTATTCATGCATGGAAACTGGTGTGGAACATAACTGTGACAGAAAAAGGCAATCTAACATACTGCACTGTGAACTCTATGCCCCTTTTGATATTTCGCCTTATGCACTCCACGTACCAAAACCTCAGACCCGATGGTTGTGGTGGATATGTGGAGAATGGGCATACAAGCAACTCCCTCCCAAATGGAGTGGGACTTGTTTCCTGGGATGGGTATTACCACCAATGTGGATTATGCCCACTAGTTCGGCAAAGCGTACACGAAGAAACGCTGATATTTCTCATATAGCAGGAGGAAGTACCCAAAGTTGGAGTGATACTGATGATTGGCCACCAGAGCGCATTATAGCCTATTATGAGCCTGCCTCCTGGAATCCTGATGAGCTCATACAAGGGGCACGGGATCCTATTTATAATCTAAACAGAATAATTCGATTGCAAGCAGTAGTGGAACTTGTAACCAATGCAACGGCCCAGAGTTTGAGACTTATTGCACAACAGTTGGATGAAAGTAGAGCCGCCATTTTGCAGCTGAAAATGGGAATGGATTATGTACTTGCCAGGCAGGGAGGCCTATGTGGAGTCTTGAACTTGACAGGGAATGCCTGTTGCTTTAACATTTCTGATAATGGTGAGGCAATCCGTGTGTTGGCCACAAAGATGGAGAGTATAGCACATGTCCCAGTACAAATATGGGAAGGATGGGATATGGGATGGCTCACCAATTGGTTACCTAATGTTGCGGGACTCAAAGGGATACTATTGTCTTGCTTGTTTTTCTTGACGGTAGTAGTAATGGTTTTATGTACGGTGCCATGTATCATTTCATGTTTTAGAAGTACAATTAGCAAGATGATTTCAAATGAAACTTTACCTCATATTATGGCCCTATACAGAGCTTTACCTCAGGAATATGACGAAGGTCAAGCTATCAAGGACACTTGGGATGAAGGTCCTTGAGCTTGAAAGGGGGGAATGAGGCATCTGATCAAAATCTGCTTTGAGCTTAAAAATTATATTTGTAAATATATTTTTCTCATGCCAGGGAGAAGACCAGCTTGAATACTCTGACAGCTGTTCAAGGGGCCCCACTGCTATAAATAGCAGTATTTCAGGGTTGTAAAAAGTATTTCAAGGTTGTAAAAGGAAATTAGAGCCAGAGAGCAAAAGGTCACACTGACCAGAATACAATCAAGCTGTAAAAACACAATTAAGAACTGGTAAATAGTGAAATTTATTGTTTAACAGAAGACTCGAGCCATAAGGTTAAAGGTTAAATTGCAAGAGGAACAGCAGCTGGTTAGGGAAAAAGGTTTCTTTATAGAACTTAGGAACTTAGCTTTTACTAAATTCCTTTAATTTGAAAAGGCCTTTCCTTCTAAAAATCTATCTATGTTATGTATGAAATATATTGGCTTAAATGTGATTATGCAAAGGATTTAGAAAGTAAGAAATGTTAGATTCTTATGTTAGATTCCTATTATGGTGGGTGAGAAGGTGAACTCAAGATCTCTTTAAGATAAAAAAATTAGAAACCATGCACCATCTGCTTTAGCCATCTGGTTTGCGGTGAATAGGGCAACAGGGGCCAAAGGTTATCTGGTAATTGAGGTGCCTGGTCGAGGTAAATGTAAGATATATGGCTACTTGTCTGCCATTTATGGATACAAGGAAATATAGCTTTTTGTCTCCCATAAAAGGGAATAGGAAATGGGTGTATCTTTTATGATTGGTTCTAGCAAACAACCAATAGGAATTTCAACCAGGCTGATTGGACAGAGGCAGCCAAAGGAGGAGCAAGGGGGCTGGGCTGAGGAAATATAAGTGCTGGCCATCAGGGCTGGAGTAGGCAGAGCTTTGGTATCCATATACCACTGTGTCTCTCATTTATTTGTCTGACAAATAAATTATTATTTTAATTTCTCTATTGCTGCGTTGAATATTTCATTCCAGCTAAGCGTTAACCACAAGCAGGGTGCTACAATTAAAGAGGAGTGAGGTGCCATTTTCAGATTATTTTATGAACAATCTTCTGGGGACTGTATTCCAGTAGTGGTTGGTGCTGGAGGCAAAATGCAGAGTTGAACAGAGGAAAAGTGGGCAGAGCAACAAATGCGGCTCTTATGTACCTTCATATAAGGGCACATTCCAGACATGCAAGACCCAGGGATTTCTACACAAACACACATCTCTCTGTCTTCCATCCTGGCAAGTAAGAGGCATCGTTTTTAGTGTTGTACAAACCACCACCCCCTTCCCACAATCTGATTTGGGCCTGATTCAGTGATCTGTTTCCCCCTTGTCTGCCTGCCAACATCTGCCTGCTTGTCTGGGGCTGGTTTCTGCAGTAGCAGGGTAAGTGCCCCAAGTTTTTGATATGATACATTTGCCCCACATGACTTACTGGCATACGCAAGACAAACTGCTGGTAAAGAGAGACACAGAAAACAGCACACAGCTGTCTACTCCTCTCTCCACCAGCACATCCTTCAAGCAATGTGATTGCACAGTGCTGGGTGAGATTCTAGCCCTGGAGTGGAAGCTGGAGCTCCCAGCAAACAAAGTTCTGCTCCTCCTTCCCAGCTCCCCACCTTGGCATTCTTCTTATATGGTGGAGAGCAGAGCAGTGGCGGAGGAAGGGGGCCTGCCCTGGGTGTCATCCCGGAGGGGGTGACATTCAGCGCACCACCCACCTGCAACTCCCAAGCCTACTGTCCTCAAGCCATCGGGGAAGGGGGGAGCTGCACCACTTTGCCGGCAGTCTTCCCCCTTCGTTTTGACAGCTCGGGATGGGATTCCCAAGCCTCCCCCGACTCCCAAGTCGGGAGTCGGGGGAAGCTCGGGAGTCACAGGCAAGTGGTGTGCCACTGCCCTGTGCTCCCGGCTGGAGGAGGCAGGTGACAAAATGCCGGGTGGCACTCACCACGGGGCCTGCACCGCGCCCAAGCCACACATCTCTTCTGGGAGTGACGTGGTGGCTTCAGTGCCCAAAGACTCCACACTGTCCCAAACAGTCCAGCCGCCACCTCCCCCTCAGCTTTAGGGCAGCTGACTGGGAGGAGGCAGGCAGACTCCTCAGAGGCCCTGCGAAGCATCCTGCCCCAGCTGGCTCCGCCCCTGGCTGCAGGGCGCGTGCACTGCTCTGTGCACCCGAGCAGCTATCCTGCACCTGGGAGGGCACCCTCCATGCCCCGCGCCCCTTGGAAGCACACCCTCCCTGAGCAACGCAGGCATATGCTCCGCCGCTGCCAAAGAGGCTTCTTTCATGTGATTTTGCCGCATGGTGAAGTCCCTTTATTCTTAAAAGGTAAAGGTAAAGGGACCCCTGACTATTAGGTCCAGTCGTGGCCAACTCTGGGGTTGCGGCGCTCATCTCGCTTTATTGGCCGAGGGAGCCGGTGTACAGCTTACGGGTCATGTGGCCAGCATGATTAAGCCACTTCTGGCGAACCAGAGCAGTGCATGGAAACGCTGTTTACCTTCCCGCTGAAGTGGGACCTATTTATCTACTTGCACTTTGAAGTGCTTTCAAACTGTTAGGTTGGCAGGAGCTGGGACCGAGCAATGAGAGCTCACCCCGTCGTGGAGATTCGAACCGCTGACCTTCTAATTGACAAGTCCTAGGCTCTGTGGTTTAACCCGCAGAGCCACCTGCGTCCCTTTAAATCTCATCTTTTTTTACCCCTGTTTTATTCCTGTGATTATTTGCTGCTGACATGGTTTCTGTTTTCTCTGTTTTATATTGATTTGTTTTCCTACCGCTTTTTAAAATTGCATTTTAAATGTTATGGTTTTCCTGCTGTTTTCGTTACCGTATGCTGTGCATTAGCCAGAGAACAGTAGTTGTTGTGGAACTAAGAAATACTATACGTAAATCAATTATTCTATTACCTAAGGGAGGGACACTTTTCGCAGGTGGAAGCAGCAGGGAGAACGATACATTATCTTTTCCCTGGCTGCTCTTTTCCACCTTAATCCCGTCTCCACTGTCTCCCTGCCCCCTAGGATTCCAGTATTGAACAATTCGAGTTTTGCCCAGACAAATGGTGGCAGGAAATGGGTTCAACACCTTCTCCCCTGCCATTTCTCCATGGAAAGGGGAAAGCACATTTTCTCTCAAAGTTGCTTTTGAAACAAACAACAAAATCCCTAAAACTGGCCTTAGACTTTGTTACACAAGTTTGCATGTAATGTGCAATTTGCTCCTAATGAAGGTTTTGCAAGTGATCAGCCAGATGGCATCGTTAAATTGCAGACATCAATATTTACAGATTTGATATCCAGCAAATGTAAACAAGGAACACTGGAGGTTTGTGTAGCAATAAATATTGTATTAATTTCTGTAGCAGCTCCAATGTTTGTTCATATAATTTGCTTCTAATAATATCATCAGCCATGTAAGAAGTGCCAGGATTATAAAAAGATGCTGAAGCTTGCCAGGAAGGGAAAGGGAAAACATTTTCATCCAACCTTTTTGAGCCTCAGACTGCAGACTTATGATCATATAAACTTGCCCTAGAGTTTCATTGTAGGTAGCACCATCAAGATCAGTAAAACTTATTTCTGACTGAACATGAACATAAGCAGGCTCTGCATGGGTTTAAAATCTGCTTCCACCTACGTGCAGAATTAGCCATTTCTTCCTGTGCAGTTTACTTATGCCTAATGCAAATATTTTCTTCTTTTCATTAAATTAATATCATAAGTCTCAGGATATGAAGTTTTAACACATTTGCATAAGGATTTTTTTTATGCCTGAAATTAGGTTAGTAAGATCATGTGAGAAATGACATTTGCCTGTCAATCTTCCATGGTGTTTCTTGTAACTGCTCTGTGATGGGGTGAGGTTTATATTAGCAGGCTAATTTCTGGCATTTTTTCAAATTGCAGCATCTGATCAAGCTGAGAAAGCTTCATTATTAAAGAAAGAAAATAATAAATTTGCTTTATGGTAACTTTCTCCGGTAAATGATCACTATAATAGTGAGGTGATAGATATTCACACATATGCAATTTACTAATAATGTATACATACACATGTGTACATAGAGACTAAGAGAGAGAGAGAGAGATTCGCACACAATCAACTAACAGCATGAGGGCAAAATAGGGCCATGGTCCCCGGTCCTGTCCTCCCAACATTGCATCCCTACTAGCCCATTGTCTACATGTTGGGAGAGCCAATGGCCATGCCATGTCCTAGAGGGGAACCTGCTTAGGCTTCTCCTAGGATTTATCAGGTTCAACACAGATAGCAGGTTCTTCTCTATGAATGTTTCTTCACAATGTGTAGACAGTGGAAAGTGAAGATATGATCTCCAGCTTATTGGATCATCTCCAAACAATTCATCCCCAGGTATGGGAAACCTCTGGCCCAACAAATGTTGCTGGACTTCAACTCTTATCATCCCTAACCATTAGGCATGCTTGCTGATGGGAGTTAGAGTCTCACAACATCTGGAAGAAAACAGGTTCACCATCCCTTACCTAAAGAGACATTGACTGGCTATTCTGAATTATTAACCATCTCCCTAACAAAGGAAGAGTTGGCTGGTTGTAACAATATATTATGTACGTATGTACGGTGCCTTCCAGAAGTTGCTGGACTACAACTCCCACAATCCCTGAACAATGGCCATGTGCTGATGGGAATTGGACTCCAGCAACATCTGGAATGCACACTTTGGCTACACCTGGTGTAGCCAGATAGTTTGCTCTGTATCCACTGTGCTTCCCTTCTAGTTTAGGAAGCAATGAACACATGACGTTAGCCACAATCCACATATATCCTGTATCAATCTTATCATATCTTATTAAATGCTGTGTTTTGATGCAGTTTCCCCCAGCCCAGCTTTCATCCGAATTGAGAAAAGGATATCCTTGCTGTGGTTTAAGACAGTAATGCATGCACAGCCTTTGTGGCTTTTTCCATCTAACTGACATGGGCTAGAGCACAATGCCTCAATTACTTGGAAAATATTTTTACTCCTCTATATTTATTCCTTTACACAGTTTTGCTCTCACACGTCCCAGATGAATATCTGATCAGGGCACTGTACACCTCACAGCAACAGCTAGCATTTCAGCAGAGTGAGCCAAACCAACCATATTGCTCTGAGCTATGTGGGTTCTGTTGCTTCTTCTCAAGCTTGAGTCATACATGGATTAGGGAGCAGGCAACTCCCAGTAGCAGCCAAGAACAATACCTGCAGAATGCTTACATTTTCTAGTCAATATATGTGAACTCAGTCTAAGTTTTCTGTATATTTCAATTTGGTGTTTCTCATTCCTTATTGGTTAACCATTTTTCCAGGTTTACTTCGAATGATATCGCCATAACAAGATGCTCAGCTGGACACATTGGCTGTTGCAGAAGGTCAAGCCACAGTGAGTACTGAAATCTATGTGGGTTCAACCTCATGCATCTTCCCTCACCAAAGGTTGCAACCATGAAGATCGACCGAGGTTCTGAAACAACAAGGCTTCTGGGACAGACAAATGCTCCTCCATCGGAAAACAACAGTGAGCTCTCAATGAACACCTCCGACTGTGCACAAGTCATTGTGCCAGAAGAAATCTTCTTCACCATTGCCGCTCTAGGAGTACTGGAAAACCTGCTGGTGCTCATAGCAGTGGGGAGGAATAAGAATCTGCATTCACCCATGTATATTTTCATTTGCAGCTTAGCTGTTTCAGACATGCTGGGAAGTTTGTACAAGACTCTGGAGAATATCCTCTTCATCATCTTCTGCAAGATGAGAAGCCTAACATGTCAGGGAGCCTTGGAAAAAACAATGGATGATATTTTAGATTTCATGTTTATTCTATCTTTACTGGGATCCATTTTCAGTCTGTCAGCCATTGCAGCTGATAGATATATAACCATCTTCTATGCACTGCGGTACCATAACATCATGACAATGAAGCGTACTTTAGTGATCTTGGTGATCATTTGGGCATTCTGTGCTGGGAGTGGCATCGCAGTGGTCATTTTCTCCCATGAAATAGCTACTGTTGTGTCCTTCTCTGTCTTCCTGTGTTTCATGCTCATTTTTATCCTCAGCCTCTATATTCATATGTTCCTGCTTGCACGCTCTCATGCCAAGAAGATTGCTTTGCAGCCTACCAGCTTGGTTCACCAGAGAGCTAACATGAAAGGAGTCATTACTTTAACTGTCTTACTTGGGGTTTTTCTCTGCTGCTGGGCTCCTTTTGTCCTTCATATGCTTCTGATGGCATTTTGCCCACAAAACCCTTATTGCATTTGCTATGGGTCCATTTTTCACATGAATGGTATACTGATCATGTGCAATGCTGTGATTGACCCCATGATTTATGCATTTCGAAGTCCAGAGCTGAGAAGTACATTTAAGAGATTGTTCTGCTGCCGGAAGCCAAGCTGGACTTAGCCACTGGAACTTCAAAAACAGCATGCAGAGCAACCAGAGCTGCACTGCCATAGAACCATTTGCTTTGTCTTGTAGTACAGTGGTACCTTGGTATTCAAACAGCTTGACTCCCAAACAAATCGGCTCCTGAACGCCACAATCCCGGAAGTGAGTGCTCCGGTTTGCGAACGTTTTTTGGAAGCCGAACATCCGACGCAGCTTCCACGACTTCTGATTGAAGGCAGGAAGCTCCTGCAGCCAATCAGAAGCTGCAACTTGGTTTTCACACCGTTTCGGGAATGAAAAGGATTCCCGGAATGGATTAAGTTCGAGAACCAAGGTATCACTGTATCTCAAAAATAATGTGATGTTGACGTCTGAGGGCTACTTTGCCACACAGTGGGGTACAGCAGTGAACCTTGGGCTTATGCATTCTCTCTCACATAGACACCGGTTTTTATTAGAGGCTATATGCACAGCATGTGAACCACAGGTTCTCTTCAGTTCCCTGCCAGGTGGCTGAATTATGCTTCTAGACCACATGTGAATCAGCCTTGCTGGAATACACTGCTGCCTACAGAATCTCAGGTCATAATGAATCAATTAGTCTCCAAAGCACCACCATTATCTTTTTGCTGCTAGGCTAACACAGCAACTTGGGGGGGGGGGATATCTTCATAGGAGATTCAGTTTAGGAAGAGGGTGAATAAAGTGGTGACAGACATGACTTAGATCATGTTTCCCTAACCTCGTTGCCTCCAGATGTTTTGAACTACAGCTCCCACCATCTCTGACCCTTAGTCGTACTGGATGGGGCTGCATTTCAAGATGTTCAGAGGGCACCATGTTCAGGAGAGGCTAGCTTGGATACAGTTTGTGGGGGATCAGAAATTAGTCATGTGTGTGCACGATTGGATTCTGATTTGCAAACTTGATTTGGAGGGATTGTTCAAACCACAGTATGCCAGTTTATTCATCACGGCAAAGTATGGCTTGACAAACCAGGAAGTGTTAAGTCACGTGTGTGGACTGAGGGAAGGAGAGGAGGAGGGAATGTGTGCATCTATACATGGCTGAGTCCTTAGTCCAGACCATAGATTTCACATATACACACATACACTGCATACTCTAATGTTAGATAGATCTGTATTGATTCAATTTTAGTGTGTGTGCTACTGAAGTGAGCACATAGATATAAAGATATTTTAGTTAAGTTTTAAACTAAAATAGGCAACAATGAGAAAATGGTGGAAGTTCATTGATTGAAAAGCTTCAGTAGAAAAGATTGAAATGAATTTAGACTTAATCATCCAGGGAACAAATGTTTTTTAGTTGAAGACAGCTGTTAGTCATCAAAAGCTCTGTCTTGTTATAAAACACATTAATGTGATTTCTATTAATTACAATTAGTTACACTACTTCAACAGCAGGATCTAAAAACATGGTTAATTTTAGGCATTTCTGATCATCTGTAATGTCAGACATTTGAATATTGAACTCCGTATTCTAAACTTGTATGAAAGTTCTACTTCTGACAGTGTACGCAGGAACATCCACTGTGAACTTAGCATTTTGTCTAGCAACATTCAAACTTAGGGAAATAGGCACAGTACTTGCCACCAACTACTACTGTTGTGAATGGTCGCTGTGCTGTTTTTTTTAACCCCACTGTTTGTATAATTTCCCTCAATATCCATATAGTTATAGATAGCTACCAACTGAGGACAACATTTCGTACATCAGATAATGTGGGCTCTGCTCCAAGAAAGAGTTTATGCCAATATACATTGACTAGTCTTTAAGGTGCCGCGTGACTCTTGCTGCAACAGACTAACATGGGTACCTATCCTAAGGTGTACTGTATGTGATGTCAAATCTCCTGTGTTGTTCTTCTGGCGTATCGCCACATATCTAGAGTGTCACTCCTGAAAGATTACTTCTAATCTGACACGTTTAGCTTAGTCAGGTCCTTGTTGATGTTTTCAGACCTGATGCCCTGGTAACATATCCTGGTAACTGATGCCCTGGAGTGACATATCCCAGTAGCTGATCCCAGCAAAGGTGCCTGGGAAGAGAAGTCAGTGCCAACCACTGAACTCATATCCCATGTTTGCAGGCTGAGGTATTCTCCTGCTATGAATGTGAATAGCGCATACTGTGATTTTCTGTTCCAGAATGTTCTGTGCTTACCTCTTGCAAGGCTTCTCTCACCTCATACACTTTAATGGAGGTGTAGCCTCCAGATGTTGTTGGAGTCCATCAGCCCAGTCAGCATGGTCAAGAGTCAAGGAGGATGAGAATTAGAGTCCAACAGCATCTGAAAGCAACCATGTTGACTGCCCTTGCTTTAATGTATGCCCAGGTTTATTTGGATCTTTGTAATTATCTTTCTTTTTAATGCCTACTTGGAATACATGTAATTATTGTTTCAATTAAAAACATAAAACAGCTTTGCTGGATCAATCCATTTCAGAGCCCTCTTTCCCAGAGTGGCCAACCACATGCATCTGAGAAGCCCACAAGCAGGAATTCACATAATAAACCTTTACAATAATCTAAGCCAGTAATCGTTCCTCACATCTTCTGGCAATGAATCCCATACATTTGTTAAGCCTTGTGGAAATAAGTGCTTCTTTTGTCAGCCCTCAATCTGCTACTGCTAATCTGTTTTGTTGACTGACCCCAAATTCTGCTTTTATGAGAATCAGTGAAGAACTTCTCCAGGCACCTTCTTCCACACACAATGCATAATAAAACCTCTGTGCAGCCTGATAGTCATCTCATTTCTAAAAATAAAAGACTTCTAGTGTTGTTTTCAAAGAACTTTTGCTCAGAGCAGACCCATTGAAATTAATGCCCATTGCTTACATCCATTAATTTCTGGGTTAAAATTAGTTAAATGCAACCTTTAGTACCTTTGCCATTCTCAGTATGGAAGGTGCTTCCACACCATTCCCACTGATCATGTTGGCTGCTTTGGAACAATTTGTCATAAGTCATTACAGAGGATGATTTACAAAACAAGTAATTAAAAAGCACACCATAGTTCAATGAATCCACAAATGGCTGCAGTAAATACTTTCTGCACAGAGTAGGAGGATTACATGACACTGAAAGGATGAAAGAGACAGTGTTTGTTCAAAATAAGCCAGCTCCTATTATCTTTCCATGTCATGCTGCTCCTATTCTGCAGAAAGAGATGTGAACTAGTTAAGGTTTTGTTAGAAATGAGAAAAGAAGAACGAAAGAAAGAAAAGAGTGTAGAAATCTGAAATGGCTCATGAGGAGAGGTCAGTATAATTGACTTGGAAAATTAGAAGTCACTGATGAGTCAGAGCAAAAAGAGAGAGAAAGAATTTGCTGTAGATCGCAAAGTAAAAGCAAGTTCAGGCATTTCATTCACTTTAGCAATCTGCATACTTTAAGCAAATTTCTCACCTCTGTCTATAACTAACCTTGCGAAATCAGGACCGTCACATAGTGACATCAAGCTATGTGAGAGTGAACACTCTCAGATGATTCCTAATAGACAAGACTCTGGGTAGGGGTTGGAATAACTTGCCCATAGGTATGCTGATCCTCATGGCAAATGTAAAAACTCAGGCAGCTATGGGTTCCCCAATTCATTCCTTGCTGTGATGAAGAGAATCTTTTAATATCTAAATGAAAACTTCTGTTGCATTCTAAGGGTGGAAATGAAAAAGGTGAACAAGCTGCTGCTTGATAACTTTGACAGCAACCTTTACTGAAGGTTATGAATGATGGCCTTATTTACCAAATATCAAATCCTCCACTTTATTCTAGTGCACCACAGAAAGCACTTCTCAGCTCCTTAAAGGAGGAATTTTGCACCGAATGTTGATAGCAATTAATTATGAAAGCATCCAGGTTGTACCTGAAGGTTCAGGCCGTGTGAGTTTTATGTACCATGACCATAATTTTGTGAGTCTTTCAGTAATTATTGACTGTGCCTCATGGATTGCATAATTAAATTGTCTTTACACTCAGTTCTGGAAATTCATTATGGACGACTCAAAGTAATTAACCTCTGCCTGGCTTCAAGCAGGAGTACACCAATCAAAGTAATTAACTAAGTGACAGACAAAGAATTGCAATTAGATAAAATGAAACTATAGACTTGTGGACCTGTTCACGTAGGCGCTGTGCATCCAAATTGTGCGACCAAGTATGGCTATCAGCACTCCATTAATTTCTGTGGCAGGTACACTTAGGTTCCTCCGACTAGTCTTGCCATCCTCTTGTGTAAAGACATAAGAAAAGCCCTGCTGAATTAGCCAAAGTTCCATCTAGCCTAGCATCCCATTCTCCTAGTGGCCAACCAGATGTCAATGGAAAGCCCACAAGTAGGACATGATGCAATAGTACTCTCCCCACTTGTGTTCCTCAGCAACTGGCATTCAGAGGCAGCTGGCAGTGAAGGCTGAACATGGCCATCTTGACTGGTAACCATTGACAGCCTTATCTTCCATGAACTTGTCCTATCCTAAGGTCTTCCAAGTCAGTGGCCATCACTACATCCTGTGGCCATCATGACATCCATAGAGCACCCAGGCGACAGAACTCTGTTGGCTGAGCCTAAAGGAACTTTGTCTATTTAGTCCTTGCTAATAAAGTCTATCACCTTCCATAACTCCATAGAGCCTGCTCTATAAACTGACTGCTTTAAGTTCATCCTTGGATAGGTTACCATCTAAGAATGAAGACTGGAAATAATAGTATAAATAAATCATGCCAGTTCTCTCTTACATCTGAATGGAGGCAGTATGTCCCTAAACACCCAACAGACTTCCAATAATTCCTTATAGCAAAATGTTGTAATTGTTTACATCCAAAGGAAGACTTCTGAGCATCAGGGTCCTCCTAACAGTTCTCAGAACTCTTAAACTACAGCTCCCAGATTTCTTTGAGGGGGAAGGGAGACCATGCCAGATTAAAGTGATATCATAGTGCTTTAAAAGTATAGCGTGAATGTGGTCAGATTTTCCACATTTATTTTTTTACTTTCATACATGGGTTAATATATGCATTTTGTAACATCTGAGCAATGGCATGAAGGCTTAAACTGGTGAGGGACACAGCCCTCCCCTCTGAGTCCACACATACACACACTGGTTCCACTTTGGATCTCTGCACTGAGAGAATGAAGGTCTGAAGTGGTGCCAGGCCATGTACGTAGGGGATGTTGGGGCCTGGACCAGGACCTGCACACACACGCCTCCATCCCCTTCATCTGTTTGTATAACTGCCTGAGCAACACTGAAACATGGGGGGGAAAGCTGTTCAAAAATGATGGCACAAAATTGCTTTCTTTTTCTTTCTTTTCTTTGTTGGTTTTATAAGAAGCAGTAGTTCCTAATGGAGAACTTACGCCTCCACAAATAAGATTGAAGCCCTCACTGCCATTTGAGGCTTTTGTTTGCGATCCTACCTGTAGAATACAAATGCCTGTATTTATCTCCTTAGCTTTAGCATTCACCGTGCTGTAGGATTTTCAGCTATTCTCAACATACGTTCAGCCCTAGACACGCCCTCGGCCACAGACAAAAGCCCTCAGTCCTGCATCCTTGGCAACAGTGGCTTACTTGTGGGGACTGACTGAGCTGTCACTTGAGCTTTGTGTGCTTTTGTAAGCTATTTTCTCGACGCTGAAGCAAAGTTTGCCATTTCTGTTCAAGAACAAAAATTGTATGCTACATACAATAAAGCTGGTGGTGGTCAGGCTAGGTGAAAGTTGTGAGGTTGCTGGTATCATCCAGCACCCTTTTTTAAATTCGAACAGCTCAGTGCTACAAATCTAAACAGTCTTCATTCTTAGCTGAGTGGATCTCTAAGGTGACATGTTCCATTCGAAATGGCAGGACTACGATGGTTACTGTGAAGGATTCCATCTCACATCACTCCAGGATACCACTTAATGGCACTAACAATGTGGTTAATTATCATGCCAACTTTGCCAGGCTCTCCCACACTAACCCAAAGCAGCTATTAAGCATGCTATTACCTTAAGCTCTTAAACCTGTGCATTTTCAAAGCAAGCCACAACAAGGCACCATCACAGGAAAAGCTTCACTCACTGAGCTGACTTCTCTGACCGCATACACACCACAAATTTAAAGCACACAACACCCCCAAAAGATTCCTTGAAGCTGTAGTTTGTTATGGGTGCTGAGAATAGTAGTTCTGTGGGGGATAAACTGCAGTTCCCAGGAATAAAGGTATGGTGTGTATGCAGCCAAAGTAATATGCACTCTTGAGCTAGAGTGGCCATGTGTCCTGCTGTACAGAGGACAGCTCTCCATTTGCAAGGCTATCAGAGGGCAGCCCTCCATTTGAAGGAGTCTTTGGTTAATTTAAAGGGTGGTCCAAGTCCAGTTTAGTAAAGAACCATAAGACAGGAGAACAGCATGGACAGCAGACTGAGCAAGAACATTGAGCATTGGGTCACAGTCCTCCCCAGCATGGAAAGTTATAGTTTCATTCCAATTATAGTATTTATTCCTAAATTTCCATGTATAATACATATACATTTTAAAGGTGTCCTGAACCCCTGGCCTACATGGCAGCAAGTCAGTATGTCAAGTCCAAAGTTTGAAGTCCAGGGGTCAATCCATACAGCCAAAGTCCAGGAAACACAGTCCAGGGTTAATCCAAGTAGCCAACACTGAAATCCAGCTGTCAGGATACAGTCCAGAGTTAACCTGAAGCACAGTCCCCTAGAGATCCAGGAGCATCCAAGCCAAGGGCCACCAACATGGGCAGCTGAGCAGACACAGCCCCTCAGTTCTGCTTCCCTTTTGTACTTTGCTGATTTCAGCATCTGGGCTTGATGAGGCATGAGACTCTCATTTGTTCCAAGCCTACTCCAGCTGAGGAATAATACCCCTCCACCCAGAGCTAGCGAGCCCCACCTGGCAAGCTAGGGAGCTGGGCTGTGGGCCCTTGCCTGTCTCAGTCTCCTAGAGTGTGTCTCCTACTAGTCTCTAAACCTCAGAGCCTACCATGTTCATGGGGACAGGGGCCCTCCAGGCTCTGGTGATGGGTCCTGCTGTTCTGGTTCCTGTGCACTGAACCCCATCCCCTCGCCATCCTCCGTCACCCTGTGAGTACTTCCTTTCCCATCCCATGCTTGCCCCAGTGTGTCCCAGTCCCAGCTAAACCCCTCGCTGGGATCTTCTTCCTCCTTCCCATTGTCCTACCAATTCATGACAAAAGGTAACAAGCAGCCCTAGAGATGGAAACCAGTGCTGTCGCTTCAAAACAGGGGCAACTTTGGGATGAGAGGCAGCTCTTTGTTACATATATTACAGTGGTACCTCAGGTTAAGTACTTAATTCGTTCCGGAGGCCCGTACTTAACCTGAAACTGTTCTTAACCTGAAGCACCACTTTAGCTAAAGGGGCCTCCCGCTGCTGCCGCGCCACGGGAGCCCGATTTCTGTTCTCATCCTGAAGCAAAGTTCTTAACCTGAAGCACTATTTCTGGGTTAGCGGAGTCTGTAACCTGAAGCGTATGTAACCTGAAGCATATGTAACCTGAGGTACCACTGTAACAGTGATCCAACTGGGGAAGTTTCCAAGCCATGGATGATGGTAGCAAGACCCAGGTCAGATTTCTGCACTTTCCAGATTTCATCATAACTTTTATCATATACTTAATTATTTCAACACTTTTTACACTGCTTATGTGAAACAAGCTTATGTGTGCAATAAGCTTAGCAAATACAATAAAAATAAAATCAATTAGAAACTAACTATTAAATCAGATTCTAGCCAAATCAGTTTTCTTCCATTCTCCCCACGTTGTCATTTAGATGAACCAGACTTAATTAACTCTTTTCATCTTTCAGTTTAAGCCAATCCCTCTGCTTCTTCTCCTCTTTTTTGCTTGCAGCTAGCTGTTGTCTCCCGAGATCCATCTGCTAATTAGGTTCTCAGAGGAAAAAAGAAACTAGAATAATTATCCAATCAATAAGCAACCCAACATGTCTTCAGATGCTCTGTGAAATTATTCATTAGGATACCAAGCTTCTAAAAAAAAAGACAGTTGTACCAACATGTACATAAAGAGATGTGAAGTTCAGTATTTTGCTGTTTTCTAGCAGTATGCTTCATTTATTTATTATGAGGGTATTTACATACCGCTCTTCATTAAAAAAAATCAGAGCAGTTTGCAACAATCATACGTAAAACTAGACAATAAAAACATCTAACCTTTATTCTAAAAAATAAATTTTGAAAAAAATGAAATCAGAGATCAGCTATTACAGAAAGATGCCAGAAAATGTTTGGAGGCAGAACACCAAACATAAGTACAGTGTTGAAGTATGCCTTTGACTAAGAAGTAGCCCAAATCCTACAGACATTTAAGTCTCTAACATAATTTTCACAAGTTTTCACCTAGTACTAACGAATCACCAGGAACAATAGAATGGGAGCATTGAGAAGGGCAAGATAGGGGGCTGCTCCAAGTGCTGCCCCATTTATTATCTCTGATGGGCTCCTGAGCCTCATGTGCACACCCATTGTTTCTTTCCTATGGGTATCCGCTTTGTTAGTGTCTATTGGTGTTTTGCTTTTTTTTTTTAACTGTGCATGGATAAGCTGTCCCATTATGGCTGCTGAGTGACAGTACAGTATTAAACTTTACCTCTAGGGTCAAACTAGACATGCCATAGGAGTTCCTGTGTTTGGAGTTCCCGGCATCTTTTCATTTCTCAAAAAGGCAGCAATGGGATCAGGGCTATAGCCTGGGAAGAAAGGGGCCTGATCCTTTGCCTCCACCACCCCATCATCTCCTGCAACCTAACAAGAAAGACCTGATCTGGGACACAATATAACTTGCTGGAATAATTTGCAGTAGTGTGGTGAATCAGCATTTGAGATTAGGGTTGGTGGTTCTCCAAACCTCTGGACCAAATTTAGAAGGTGAAAGGGGCACTGCAGGGGAAGTTCCACTGTGCAAGTGAAAAACTTACATGAGTGGAACAGCAGCACTGGATTCAACCATCTATAAATAAGCCTTTTTTGTGGGAAAATGGGGGGCTTGTGTGCTTTGCCCCACCATAACCTTGAGATCTGTTTACTTTTTAATCAGTTACCCATGGAAACATCTGCTTCTGAAAATACCTAGGAGGGATAAACAAAGTAAAGCAAGTACAAAGTGTTCCTATTCTGTGCACTGACTTTTACATGCTCTTTCATGATCAAATACAGCACTTTGAGGCCCATATGGTCCATTGTAAGGCCAGGTCTCTTTGCAATTTACCACACCACTGGGATTTTTAGACTAATGTCAGTGCATACATTGAGGGGGGGGGCTAGGTTATTTGATTCCCCCAACCTGCACAGCAATGTGTCTTATTTTATGATTGAAGGTGTAGTCTATATCAGCCCAGCTTCTATGCCTTGCAGTATCAAATTCTCTCTTCAGTTCTGCTTCCTTTCTTACTCCATTGCCTTTTGTTGCTCTCTCTGGTTGCTTCTTCTTGTTGTTGTTATCCTCATTATGCATTCAGCCCTCTTTTCTGACTGACATTTTCAGATAAAGGTCACTGAAGAGGCGTTGCACATCTTTCATCAAAGGTTTGTGGTGCAAAAACTCCGGGGGATGAGAATGGCATGAACCATGTCATAAGGAAATCATTATATAAAACATGGACAAAATATAAGGATCTCCTAGAAGTGAAAACACCATGGTGGGCATCACCTCTAGAAGCAATTACAATAAAAAAGAAAATTATGGAATTAGAATGGGCCACATATAAAGATCTGATTAAGGAAAAAGACAATAAATTGGTAGTTAAAAATTATGAGGAAATTAAACACCTTATGGGTTGGATCCAATGCCATCAATTGCATGAAGTGTTCAGGACAGATAAGAAAAAAGATTTCTCAAACGAACCTTCATTATTAGAAAAAGTGTTATTACAAAACAAAACCAGGGTAATATCAAAAATGTATGATACATTATTGGAGTGGGAGGTCAAAGATGAACAGGTCAAGGAGGTAATGATCAAGTGGGCTTTAGATATTGGGAAAACCATTCACTTAACAGCATGGGAAGAACTATGGCGAAAGAACTGGAAATTTACAGCCTGTGAAGTATTGAGGGAAAAGCTAATCAAGATGTTTTATAGATGGTACTTAACACCCACCAAAATAGCTAAAATGTATAAGACAAAAACAAATCTGTGCTGGAGGTGTGGTAAAACAGAGGGGACACTTATACATGTTTGGTGGACCTGTGAAAAAATCAAAAGCTTCTGGAACACAGTATATGACGAGCTTAAAAAAATGTTTAAGTATAACTTTATGAAAAACACAGACGCTTTTCTACTAGGGATAATGGACACAGGTATAGCAAGAGAAGATCAGAAAATATTCCTCTATGCCACAGGAGTGGCAAGGATCCTAACTGCTAAAAACTGGAAAAAAGAAACTGTGCCAACAAAAAAGGAATGGCAAGACAAACTGTTAGATTAAACTGAACTGGCTAGATTAACAGAGGCAGTTAGAGATCACACTAGACAAGAGTTTCAAAAAGCATGGGGAAAATGCAGAGAATACTTCACAAAACAGTGCCCTAAAATACATACCTGGACTTGTTTCGATTAATGTCTGCAGGAGACTTTGTGGATATTTAAGTTATAATTGGAAAAATCTTAATAATTATTCATAAAGAAAACAGTTTATAAGAAGTAAATAAGGAGGCCAGATACGGGATAAAGGAAGTCTTTTATTTCATTGTTTGCATTGTTGTATGTTATGCTCACTGTATGTTATGTTCACGTTTAATGAGGGTGGATTGTGTATTGGAGGGTGGGGGGGTTATGTTATGTTGTAAATAAAATTCCAGTAAAAAATATTTTTAAAAAAGAGAGAGAGAGAATGGCACCTGCCATGTGTTTGCTCATTAGCTCACACATGGCACTTTCAACCCTCACTTCAGGTGAGAAGTTATTCCTGGCACCTGTAGCTCAGTCCTTTCATATTCCTCCTCATTAAATAGGAATATAATTTCCAATTATATTTGCACACCATGGAGTTTGAGCATATAACGCACACATGGACACAGATAACGAGTCACACAGTTGTTAGTTTATACCTACTGAATTCAGTGGGCTTTAGGGTGCAGAACCCTGAATTGGATTTTGTGCTCATATAAATAGAATGTGTGTGCATACAATCTAAAACTACAAGTTATATACTACAAATAATGCAGAGGTACGGTTTGTGCATTTTCACTCTTCTGCTTTATGAACATTAATTTTCCATTACAGGAATAGCCACATAACTAGTAAATACAGTCTAGACAAATATGTACAGGAATATGCATATGGTTGTTAATTTTTCTTGATTCTTTTGTTTTATCTTTTTGTATACCACTTTGTGGGTTTTCATAATCTCATGGTGTATAAAGTTTATGAAATAAATATTCTGTGCACTGTCCGTACAGGGACTTGTTCAATCATTTTATTCACAATATGTTTTCTAATGTTAAGTGACTTGTGCTTCTCAAATCACAATGAACATGGTCCGAAGTACATTGTCCTGCATCCATACATGGATATCTGTGCATACAATGGCTTCCCTTCTTTATTTTTAGCATTTATTCCACATCATCAGTGTACATTTAACCTTCCAGAATGACATCGGGAAAAGAGACACTGAGGATGAGACTTCTCTGCCTGATTTTGGGCAATTTAGGATACCCTCCCACTTCAGCCCTGTATGACACAACATATCAGTCAGGGCTGGCTCAGACATAGGTCAGCACTCAAACATAGAGACGAGCAGGAAGTTTAATTCTTTATTCAAGAAAACAGCAGACAACACAAAGAAGTCTCAAGGCAAGACCAGCTTCCATAGCACAGTTTCCAGGACTGATGGTTCCTGCTTCACACTTGCCCCCAAGACCCCTCCTCTTCTGGAGATTGCTCACATAGCCATAAACACAGTGGGACAGGACTCTTGCTTCATGTTTTGAGTCTGAACAGCTTTCTGCCCTTGGCTCTTCCCTCTCGCCCAAGCCTGTTGCTTCTTCAGTGGCCCACCATTCTCCTCCCTCCTTCATCTTCTGACCTGTCCTCAGTGTCCCACTACCATTCCTCATGCTCTGAACCTTCCTCCTCTGAGGCTTTCCTAGGGGTTCGCCATCAGGTGCCTTGCACCACTCCTTGTCATCCAGCCAGTCCCTGACAATATCCTGCACTGTTTGGTAGATGCTCCCTGCCTCAGTGAGTGACTTTTTGGGTCTGCGTGGGAGAAGGGCAGAAGGGAAAGCCTTCTGCGTGAACTGCCTTCTACTCACACAAATTTGGAGACAATCCTATTTCTTTTGCAATCAAGAATAAAATTGACTTTTAAAATGCAGTTAATACATGCATTTAAACTGAGAAATTAAAATGTGTGATTTTACTCTAGATGACAAGCCTAATAAAATAGGCCAGTTGCAGTCTTACTGATACGGTCATACCTCATTTTACGTTTGCTTCATGTTACATTTTTTCAGGTTGCGTCCCATGGCAACCCGGAAGTACCGGAAAGGGTTACTTCTGTGTTTTGCTGCTCACGCATGCGCAGAAGCGCTAAATCACGCTTCGCGCATGCGCGCAAGCACCAAATCACACCGCACACCTGCGCAGATACGATGCTTCAGGTTGCGGGCATTTCACGTTGTAAACAGGCCTCCGGAATGGATCCCGTTCTCAACCAGAGGTACCACTGTACTGTTAAAAATGACAGAGATGTGCTATCATTCACAGGCAAGCACAGGAAAGTTCTATAATTCCATTTCAACCCATTTCAAAACTACATCAGAGACGTGTATTTTTATTTCAAGTAAAATTCCAGAGAAAATGAGATTATGTACATTTCAACAAAATCTTTTAAACTATCCAGCTGAAATTTTCAATTTTTAATATTATCTATATCATGTTTAAATGGAATGCCCACTGAAGACTGTGATTTCCTTATGGAACAAATAGGATGCATCTTGTGCTTTTTACAATATAACAATAAATAATATGAACTCTCCATTCTTAATGCTACAAACAAAATTCACCATGGCACAGCAGTTCAGACTGCTAATACCATCAGTGTTGGGCTCTACCACAATGCATTCGTGTAGGTTTTAGGCTACAATCCTATGACCAGGGCTGAAGAAAGAGAGAGGAAGATCTAGTATTAGATTCTGCCCAACCCCATCACCCCTCCACAGCTGTGGCAACTTCTGTGGAACTCCAAAATCACTAAGGTCAAAAAGCAGATGATATAAGAGTTGGGGATGTGCTGGGGAAGACTGTGGAAAGATTTGTAGTTAAAGAATCTGGATCCATCCCACTCCCCCAACCTAGAAGAATTTTATACCAGCTCAGGAGATAATGTAAATATCACCCTTTTATTTCCCTTCCATTGGAAACATGGGAGGGAAATGTAGAAAAAAGAAAGATTTGGGAAAGGGACAAAGGAGGACGTGGTTTAACTGACTTTTGACCCCTTAGCCACCCTTACGACTGTATGGTAAGAATTAACTAAGTCCAGTCTTTAAAAAAAAATCATGGAAAGCCATTCATCTAAATTCAAATTCACTACACAATTCTAGCGTAGTTGAACCTGAGCATAAGGAAATCCACATAAGTTCAAATTCTACTTCAGTTATTACCTCATTATGCTGTCATGGGTTCAGTAAGTATGTTATTGTCACATTATGCTGTCGCAATCCCCTAGCCTCAGTGTCCCATCAGCAGAATGAGATAACACCCTGATTCATATAGATGTTGCAGGGATGAAAATAAGAAAATGTTATCATTTTCCCAATGTCACAGTGATGGAAGGCACAGTCAGATATTTAGGAAAACATGAAAATATTATTCAATAGAAAGGCAAATCTGCTTATGCACAATTCAATAATGCACATGTTTCTTCCACAGTTTCCATCACTTAGTTTTTAACCAAAGTTAAAAGCCCTACCAAAAGAATTATCTCTTTCCAATACATCAAGCACCACACTATACTGCTTCCTGGTTCCAAGACCTACAAGCAGTCTGAAGACTAAATTTGGCCCTGAAAAAACTTTGCCCTAAAACAAGTTCACTGCCGAAACTTTGAGATTTATACTTTGTACTGAAAGCTCAAGAGGATTTCAAGTATATGTTAGAAAACTATTAATTGCATGTTACTGCATTTTATGTATGAATGCACACATAAAAATAAAAAAGGTATCTTGCAGATCCACTATATTTTCTGGAAGACTAATGCCTTGAAATCAACCCACCTCTCACCTTCCTAAACACTACAATTCCCCGAAAGCATAATTTCCAAAACCAATTGTTCCTTGAGAATGATGGAGCCTACAGGTATGTCTGTTCCTCCGCATTTTTCTAAAATGACTTCCCAATGTTGACTGCGTAGTTGCTGTGTAGATGAGAATGTGCTTTAATGCTTCTCAGTATTGACCTTGGAACAATCACAAAGGTAATAATCCTCTTGATTTGACATTGAAATACACACTCAGGGTGAAGAAATGGATGTGTTCTATAGATTCTGGAATTCAGTTCCTGCAGTGCTAAAAAAAAAACCCTAGGACATTAATCTAGGCAACATTAAATCCTATTTAATTCAAAAGAGATTTCAGCATATGCTTAACTCTCCCGCTGAAATCAGCGGAAATTTAAAGGTGCTTAATTCATGCCCCATTTACTCTGAGCATGGTAGGAGTTTTTAATGACACTGATTGTTGATACTCTCAATAGGAAATAATAGGCTCGTGCAAATAGGGTCAAGATCTCTACATCATAGGACCTTTGTCATCCTCCCAAAAAGAAAATTGGAGCTCTTTTGCAACCAGAGACTTGCCTATGATGAGCCCCATGTTTGCAGGTCTTCTTTCTGATTTGGGCTTTCAAATGGGATAGCTCAGTTGGTAGAGCATGAGACTCTTAATCTAAGGTTGTGGGTTTGAGCCCCATGTTGGATGAAATATTCCTGCATTGCAAGGGGTTGGGCTAGATGATCCTCATGCTCCCTTCCAACTCTACAATTCCACAATGTTTCTAACCATCCCTGTTTCTAACGCATCTTTAATATGAAAGGCTCATAAAGTCCACCATTTTTCCTCACTGAAAAGTGTCCTTGCGTATCTTCAAGTGCATTTGTAAACATGGGCACAGGTTATCTCATCAAAACAAGTGGGCTATGCACAGGTCAGTGGGCACCTGATGAGCAGCTGATCTGTAAATGAAATTTAGCTGTCATAATACCAAAATACATTTGCATTGCAGAAGCTAGAGCTGTTTCCTATGCTTGACAAGTTGGAGACAGAGGTCTTGCTCCACCCACTTTTCTTTTTTAATGATACAGCAACACAAGAGGCACAGCCGCTGCTATTTGCAAGCCAATGATCAGCACTGAGATGCCATTTGCGGAGCTGCTCCTGGACTTTCTTCTATCCCATCCTGCTTCCCTGTGCCACACAACAGCAGTGCTGGCTGTGTAAACCAAAATGACTGGGCCACAGAGTTGGACCATCCATTCTCCTTCACCCACCAGTGGTCTACTCTGACTAGTTATTTCTATCACAGTTCTACAGCAGGCTTTTTAGCCACATTTCTATCGACAAGTAACAGACACAACAAAATGGACGTCTTCAGAATTTGCATTCCACGCAAGAAAATATTTTGGTTACATTCATCTGTTGTGCTGTTCTTGTTTTTAAAATCATGAAGAGCTGTGTGGGTCTGTCTTGATATCTCTTGGCCATCCTCATAGAGGCTGAGGCACGTGGAGCCTGGCATTTGCAAATTGTATTTGTCACCTAGTATTAATCAGAGCCTGTGAAGGAAACTCTTCACTCTGTACCTGACAGATCCTATCAGAACTAAAGAATGCCAACAAATGCATTGTTTGGTTTAAAACTCACCAGGGTTTCATGCAGTGCAAAGGGAATGAAACAAATATATTTACAGTCACTAGTTAGGAAAATAAAAAATATAGATTCTGCTCCTTTGCACACTGGTGTGTATACACACACACACATGCCATAGATAGATAGGTAGATGTCAATATTTAACTAAATAATTGTGTGAGTGAAATGACTTCCACTTGCACAACAGGACTATCCCTCCCTCTCTCTCCCTTCCACCCCGTGTGCCCTGTGCCACCCTCAAATCTGTTCCAGGATGTTGGGGGAACCCTCCGAAAAAATTTAGGGGTAAGGAGAATGGGGTAGAAGTAGTTCCACTTGCACAGTTATTTAGTCAGTGTGTGTGTGTGTGTGTGTGTGTGTGTGTGTGTGTGTGTCAGTATCAGTGCTGGGTTGTCTCCTCCACCCTAAGTGCTTTCATATAGTAAACAGATGCCACTCATGTTTATGGGAGCCCATGGAAAACTGTCCAAAATGAGTAATTTCAGTGAGAGAAATTTCAGGTTCCCACACTGAAATGATCACTATCACAAGCCGGACATAGCATTCCATATGGAACAATAAAATGTTTAGAAGAGGGATGGGGAACATGTGACCATCCAAATGTTGTTGGACGACAGTTTCCATCAGCCCATTAACCATTCAGCTGGGAGGTTCAAATCCAACAACATCCAGAGAGCCTCTTAAGAAGTTTTGTTCTTTTAACCCAAATTCACATTTCCCCTAATACTTGCTGGGCAGTCCGCAGACCATTCTTATGCTGTAGCAGCAGATGATCTCCTTGAAAGTCTTTCGCATTTCCTGGCTTCGGAAGGCGTAGATCAAGGGATCGATAACTGAATTGCACATGATGAGGATGAGGTACATGTTGAAGTGTGACATGAAGCAAATGCAGTAGAGATTCTGAGGGCAGGATATCATCAGGATGAGATGGAGGAAAAATGGAGCCCAGCAGACAATGAAGATGCCCAGCAGCATAGTCAGGGTGATGGCACCTTTCATGCTGGTCCTCTGGTGAACGGAATTATATCCTGGCAAGGCTGCTATCCTCTTGACATGAGTACGAGCCAAAAGGAACATGTGTATGTACAGTGAGACCATGAGGAACAACATAGTGAAGAACATTGTGATGAGACACATGACGACGTACTTCGATTCATAATAAAGGATGAAGATGATCCCACAGCCAGTACAAAAGGTCCAAATGCATGCAATTATGAGCCCTGATCTTTTCACCGTCATTATGTTGTGATAACGGAGGGCATAAAAGATAGTGATATACCTGTCTACTGCAATAGCTAGCAAACTGCACATGGAAGCCACAACAGATATACATATCAGCGAATCAAAAACATTGTCTATGTGACGTACAAAAACATCTTCAATAATTAGATGCCTATTGTTTAATAAATATATGGTTATGGTCTCCCAGGCATTTGACACGCTGACCAGCATGTCAGCAACAGCTAAGCTGCACACAAAGAAATACATAGGAGAGTGCAAGTTCTTGTTCTTAACTATGGCACAGATAACTAGGATGTTTTCAAGAAGGCTTACAATGCCAAGTATGAGAAACACCTCCGTTGCTATGACCACTTGCTCACATGTTGATGCCTTGGTCTTGACGGTGGGCACAGTCAGGTTGCTCCCAAGAGCACTCAAGTTAAGGTCTGGAATGCTGGGTTGATTAGATGAGTTCATCTTGGCTGAAGAAGGTGCTGTTTTCAGTCTGGGAGACTTATTGTAAAACAGTCCTGCAGATGCATTCTTCGGAAAGGTGGAAGATCCTGCCAAACGATCACAAAGCATGACATAAAGCAGAGCTGATGGTGACAAAAGGAATGAAATGCAAAGGGGAAACTAGTTATGTAAATGGCAGACCCAAGAGTTGCAATGTGGGTTGCTTCCAAAGTCAAATAAAACAAGGAGCACAGGAGCAATTTAAAACATAGGAACGGGAAGGAGCTAGGGTGATGAACTCCCCCACCCCGTATCTTATACCCATACAAAATCTCTCTTCCTATACCACCTATTTTTCTCACAATTGACACATTTCTATATATCCCAGAGAAGATAAATACACTGAGCAAACCTCCACAGAAAATTAGTATGTTCAGTCTGAACAAGTCTTGAGAACCCCACTGAACAGAACAGCTATAAGACCAGATTTCATTAGCTCAGCCAATCAGATTTACATAAAAGTTTGAATTCCTGCAAGAATTACAAGCTAAGCTTTCAAAGCTTCTCCTTCATCTTTGTACTTCTCAAGTTTGCAAGTACTGTGACACAAACAGCAAATGACTGTAGCATTAGCCAGCCGTCTTGCAGCAAAATCTCACATCCCCAAAGATATACTGATATTCAAGGGTTTGCTATAACAGCAGGTTTGGTGCTGCTATTTTTTTAAGTTGATCACTATTACTTCAAGGTTAAAGTGCAGTATGGTTTTTCTGTTCCGTCTGAATAATGAGATGTTTCTGAATGTTTGCATTATGAAAGATGTTGCAAGCAGTCAAAACCCTTCATGAATACAACACATTTTTCGAAGGATCCTAATAGCTTCCATTTACAGTTAAAGAAAAAATGTAGCTATTTACCCAGTGCTGTTCCTTTCTATTTCTCTTCAGGTCCTGCATATGTTCTTCCGGCTGTCAGAAGTTTCTGATCACCTGTCCATTCAGCATCAAGTGTTTGTGCACTTTTGACAGGAACCAGTGCCATAACAGTAGAAAAGCACTATTCAAATCCAAAGAGACAAGGCTGTTATAAATTACTTACTGTGGAGCTGTCTTTTTATAGTCTCAGAGTTAATGACTTCAATGTTCGGCTTCCAGCTCCTCCTCTGCCCACCCCCACCCCCGCCTTCTTACCACCCAATTTCTCATAGACTTCAATAAGATGCAAAGACTTGAATTTTTAGCATCACCTAGTGGCTGATATTTGTGATGCACCCCATCTTTATAAACTGCAATTTTTTCCTGCTTTACACATTATTTGTATGATATAATTCCCATGCTATTTTTAATATTTTGCCTCCATTTAATCTCCCAAATATTAAACGGACTGAAATATAACCTGGCATTTTACTGAAAATTCTTTAGAAGCAGCGAGGTTCCTTTTTTTGCAGCAAAAGACTATCACTGATTTCCTCTGAGGGGGAGATATGGACTTACTGTAAAAGGCTTAATTTGAACCAGAGCTCATTAGCCTCTGCACCTGTTCTCAGTGAAATTTTTTAAGGGGAATGCATGTGTAGCATCTTGATAATTTTTTTTATTATATTATTCCTAAGTGTAAGAAACCAACTCTTTGTGTTCTGTGTTAGGAACAGCCATTGCAATGCCCTCCAGATGTTGCTGGACTTCAGCTGCCATCAACCCCAGTCAAAGTGGCTTGGGATGGTGTGAGCTGTAATCCACCAACTGCCGGAGGGCACCACATTGACTAACCCTATGTAGATGGTGTTGGTTTCCATTTGGATACTTGCAACAAGAATGGTTGCCATGTGTCTATTCCAGTCAACAGATAAACCTGGGACTTGGGTCCACCCCTCCACCAATGACAGCCAACCAGCTCCAAGATGGTGAGAAGGACTAAGCCCACAACACTCTAATCCAGCAAACTTGAAACTGAAAATAAGAAACTCATGGTGGGAGGGAAAAGGAATAAATATCATGACCACACACCACTTATAGGGGTACATGCAACATCACTTATCCCTGCTAGGTGACTACTTTATAATAAAGAAACAAATAAGCTGTTGAAATGCCAATAGGGGTTCACAAACTATCTTTCAAAAGTCACAGTTTCTTCTCACAAAAGTTTCTTCTCTGTTTCAATTCTTCCTCCATCCACAGAAGGCATAACTGGGGACTGAACCCCAACCCCAAAGCAGGTATGCTAGAGCCTGGCTTAGACATGGTAGAGTCTATCAGGACCTTGGACAGCACACTATAAAAAAGCTGGCTGGGTATTGCCATCTGCTGAAAAGAAGCTATCTTGTTCTGTAACTGTTTACATGTGGGAGTGAGCGGGACGCCACAGAACTAAGGTCACGTCCACACCATACATTTGAAGCACTACTTTATCACTCTCTGTGGTGATTCTCCAGTCATGGAAAATCCTGGGAACTGTAGTTTGTTAAGGGTGCTGGGGATTGTAGCTCTGTGGGTCAGAACTCTTAACAAACTACCACTTTCCCATGTCCATTTAAGATATCAGTCCTCCTCCTCCTCTTCCATCCGTCCCAAACCTATGTACATCACTCCCTCTCATTTAGCATTTTCCTCCATCCTAAACCTCCTCTAAAGATTAACCCAAGTTACTGGAGATCTCATTCGAACGCTATTTTATTCTTATTTATTTCATGAATGAATCACTTCCCATGAGGCATCTCAAAGTGTTTACAATACAATAAAAGCATGCAAAGAACAACTGCATGCTGTATATAAAAGCAACACACACATACACACACAATGAGAGAGAGAGAGTTACCAGCTAGAATAAAAGTCTCCACTGAGAAAGCTTGTTGAAAGAGGAACATATTCAACAGGCAAAGGACAATCAATAAACCACCTGTCTGATAGTGCTGTCACACTAAAGACCTGATTCTGGCAATGTGCAGAATGGACCTCCTGACAGGATGGCGTCTGCAGGATGCCCTCTCCCACAGAGCACAGCGATTGGTTGGATATGCAGGGGATGAGATGATCTTTTCCTGTAATCCTCCTGTTTGTTTAATAGACTGTGGACTGTAAGTCTCCTATCTTCAGCTACTGAGTCTGCACTATAGCCCCACCTAGGTTCCCCAGTTACTGTCCTGATGCACTTTGACTTTCACTTAAAGACAGAAATATGTCTTACTTTTGTACACATGCAGAATCATTGATGGAGGTAGAAAAGGCTACATGGTAAAACACCATAGCAAGGGTCATGCAGGCCAGCTGTCTCTCTTAAAGGTGGGGATACTGTGAACACTCTCAATTTCCTAGCAAGTTCTCTTTCTTTAAAATAAGAACTATTAAAGGAGAATATTAATATCAAGACATTAAAGGTTAAGAAATATAAAAATGACTTGCTAATCAGAAGCAATTTAGAGACGAAAATGGCCCTGCCAATATATTAAAAGTGGTTCCAGAGAGCATGAACTATATAGCCTGAAGTTTAAAGAAAGAGTGGATTTAATTACCAGTTTTAGAAATGCCATGCTCTTTGCCTTCACCAGCCATTGGGATCCTTCCTATGAAAAATGTAACTACTTCCACATACAATGGCCAAAAAAGAAAATCTCTGCTCCTTGGAGTGTCTTTGTAGAATGGCAATAGTTACTCCCACAGCTTTGGGAGCAGAACAAATTTATGTAGTATTTCAGAGATGTAGATTTTATATAGGACTCTAGGCAGCAATGTGATTTTATGCAGTACTGGGTTTTGTATTGTATTTATTTATCTTATACGTGAATGGCTTATGGCCCAAGCATTAATAAACTGACTGACTGAGAACAAATTACCTCCACCTTTTGTTTGTTTGTTTGTTGGTTGTTTGTTTGTTTGTTTGTTCTTTTGCCACTTAATGCCAAAATAGGCTTCTAAGAGGTTTACATAATATAAAAAGCAAACATTGAAATAAACACCCACAATTAGAATATACAATAAAACAATCCCATTAAAACACAGCAGTTAAAAGAGGAGACTAGGATTACAGTAGAAGGCCTATGCGAATAGTTGCATCATCAAAAGCCAGTGAGATGCCAAAACAAATGATATCATATTTCAGCAAGGAGTGCATTCCATCACACCAGTACCACAATGAAAAAGCCCCATCCATGTGACCATAAACTGATAATCACCTGGTTTGTGGAAAAACTCACTGTGTTCCATTTGTTGATCAGTCTTTCAGATAACCTGTTCCAAATTTGTTTCAGGCTTTGCATTGTTACACGCTAGCCCAATCTCAGAGTGGTGAGAGACTCCAGGGGTTCCAGACACTTGCCCAGGGTTCAGTTTCCTATGTGGAGACTGTGGTGTGTTAGGATATATGGTTTATTTACACATATATGCAACCTGAGCTGAAGGTGGAGGGGCTCACGGCATTACTAGCTCAACAGATCTTGCTTCCCCGTTAGGAACCCCAGGGCCCAGCATAGAGCAAACATGTGTCTGGCTCTCTAGCTTCAACTTGTTCTTCCAGCTCAGCTCATACACAATGACACTCCTATTGTTCTTCACCTACCAGCCAGATGAGGAGCGGGGAAGACACACTCATTTGCCCAGACAGCACCATCACTTAGTTGTAGCTCTTGCAGTCTAGTTCATTCTGATGCTTATCATGGTGCTGGCCACAACCATTAGCTAGACAAAGGGACTGATTTAGCAAGCTTGCTCTCATACCTTCTACCCGCCACAAACACAGGAACCCAAGAATTTGACAGGACTCAGGGCATCATGCAGCCTGACTCCCTAAGCCTACATTAATACATAATTAACAAGACCTTAAAGCTAGCTTAGTAGCTAACAGGCAGGCAGAACATATTCCTCAGCACATATGTCATTCATGCCTGGTAGATGAGGACATAGCACAATGGGAATCCTTTCTTTATACATCTTTTTAGATGTAACTGGTATTATGAAAAGTGCACTGAAGCAAAATAGCAATCCATCCAGCTGTGCTCCTAGCCCCTCTTGGTTGCAGCCACAATGAAGTACAGTTCTCATGGTCTTATACACCTAGCACAGCTTCACTGCTGCATAACAAGGATTTTTGAAAGCATTATTTGTTTCACTGGGCAGTACTTTCAGTTCACATTCTCTCACCTGCAGAGAACAACAAAGTCCACTACCTGAAGTTTCCTTCGAACTCTTCATGTACAATGCAGGTACTTTTTTTGTTCTGTGTTTCTCCATATTTTCTTATCTGCAGCCTAGAAATAAGCCCCCTACAGGCAACACTGTTTCCCATTATGCACAAAGTCTTTTAGCACAGTAGACAATGTATTCTTTTAAGCACAGATCAGGAGGGTTGGAGTGGTTCTCTAATTGGTTTTTTTTACTTTTTCTTGTTTAACTCCCATAATCTTACCCATTTATAAATTCTTCTCCACAATTTGTTTATTCCCTTACAGTTCAGCTTAGCTTAATTAATAACTTCAGTATCCCTTTTGCTGTATCCAGAGACACTGCGGTGCTTTATTTTTGTATAGACCCAGCCATGGTACAATAAAAGCTGAAAACAAGATTTCATTCTGTCCGTATCTTAATAGAGAAAGGCAACATGAGCAGTAGAAAACAGAGTAAGCCTGACAATAAGGGCATCACAACTAGAATCATAGAATCATAGAGTTGGAAGAGACCACAAGGGCCATCGAGTCCAACCCCCTGCCAAGCAGGAAACACCATCAGAGCACTCCTGACATATGGTTGTCAAGCCTCTGCTTAAAGACCTCCAAAGAAGGAGACTCCACCACACTCCTTGGCAGCAAATTCCACTGTCGAACAGCTCTTACTGTCAGGAAGTTCTTCCTAATGTTTAGGTGGAATCTTCTTTCTTGTAGTTTAGATCCATTGCTCCGTGTCCGCTTCTCTGGAGCAGCAGAAAACAACCTTTCTCCCTCCTCTATGTGACATCCTTTTATATATTTGAACATGGCTATCATATCACCCCTTAACCTCCTCTTCTCTAGGCTAAACATGCCCAGCTCCCTTAGCCGTTCCTCATAAGGCATCGTTTCCAGGCCTTTGACCATTTTGGTTGCCCTCCTCTGGACACGTT